TCTATATAACTGACTGAAGTGACGAGTGATAACAGATACATGGGCGAATTTTTGCTCACTAATAATTCCTTCGAAGATCAAAAGTTGTTGTGTAATGACATTCAATTACTCTTTTGAATTGTCAGATATCCTCTTACAGTCTTATATAACAACTTTTGGCCTTCGAAGGAATTTTTAGTGAGCAGAAATTTGCCCATGTATCTGTTATCGCTCGTCACTTCAGTCAGTTATATAGAGGGATAGCGCTATAAACCTCAGAATGCCTCGTTCGGCATTTTTGTCCAAACGTGTCAAAAACGTGTTAAAATTTTTGCCACAATTTTGCAACGTTCTAACGTGGTAAAAACAAAATGCCACGTTATTCTGAAGTTCCAAAACGTATTTTGTTTTAAAATTGCCATGTTTTTGGAACGAGTATTTTGTCCAGAACCAGGCTGTTCACAAGGTTGGATACCTTTTTTTCAAAAGGAGTGGGGGTGGGATTCAGCCATACCAAATAATATGCTGTTCCTGTTTTTATATAGTAAACGACGGGTTTAAGATGAAAACGTATCACGTATATTGAGTTAGTTGCTCGGCCCAATGGTAGAAGATTTTAATAGCTTTTAACACAAAATTAAGCAGATTTATTCTCCAAAATATAGTCCAGATCGACCCTTTAAATAAGAATCCAGACGTAGGCCGGTCACCTAAAGGATAAACATGTTATTATCATTTTTAATAAAGTTGTTCACATCGCCCCGCTTTTAATGTCATATAAACATAAATTGTGCCTATTTCATGTTTCGATGGAATTTAATTGGCCGTTTAGATACTGCTTTTGCAATTTTTATACATACAACTGAGTGCCAATTACATACAATTTCATGAGATATATTAAATATAATATCGTTTATTATATAAAAAAAAGGAACAGCATATTTGTAATTAATAATGTTCAAAGGCCTAAAATACAATTATTGAGTTCGCTCCGCTTTGAACTTGGCTGTTCTTCATTTCTCACACCTCTTTGTTGGAAATACTGTGTGAAAACTGCAACAAAAAACTTGACTGCTTTACATTTCTCACATCTCTTTGTTGGAAATATTGTGTGAACATATGAAACTGCAACAGAGAATGTAACAAACTCTTTTTATGCAACATATGTCATTTCTAATCGACTTTGCTTTGTGTTATTTTCTCTACATAATCGCTTCAAAGTGTCACCAAATAATATTATGCTGTCCTCGATACGCTCGACGAGACTTTGGTTTGGCTGAACCCCACCCCCAAACCGTTTGAAAAATCATGTATCCAACCTTGAGAACAGCCTCGTTCTGGACAAAATACCTCGTGCCAAAAACATGGCAATTTAAAAAAAAAATACATTTTGGAACTCCGGACAAACGTGGCATTTTGTTTTTACCAGGTTACAACGTGGCAAAAATTTTAACACGTTTTTGCCACGTTTGGACAAAAATGCCAAACGAGGCATTCTGAGGTTTATAGTGTAACTCGTGTTTTCCTTTTGCGTTCGCCACTTCGTATTGTTAAAACGTTAATTATACATCTATCGTAGCAATGATCTCTGTGATAAAATTGTATTTGGAACGTGTTTAACCAGTTTTATCACATATGTGATAATGACTGACACCAATATTGTCCTTTAAATGCATTATTTGAAAACTAAATTTCTTAATTGTGAAAAAATGAAGCGCCAACATTAAAGGATGACGTCACATCATTAATGCCCATAAATGAACATTTTCTTTAAATCGGTATAAAACAAAACAGAAGTCTGTAAGTCTCCAACAAATCTTTACATTTGATTCATATCATATGCGTTGGTACATATTTATGAGTCACGAAAATAAATTAAAACGCGTTTCTTGCAAGATGCATTATGTAAGATTTGGATAAAGAGCTAACAGTTCTGTCTATAATAATTTAAAAATAGATAATGGAACGGGTATATATTGAAAATATCAGCCAAATTACAGTATTCTGGGCAAAATTTTGAATGTTGGAACGATTTTCATTGCTACCATTGTTACGATAATAAACTCAGTCCCGATTATCAACTTTTAAATTAAATTATTAAATCGCGACCGTATTTCAAAAATCGCGAGCATCCGATGGTTTAGAGAGTTAATCATTTGAACAGCTGGCTAATTAATAATTTATATAAGTTTGAGGCTAAAAGAAAGACCTGCAATAGACAGAGTTAGATAATGCACCTTTAACAACCAGTATAAACCGAAAGTAGAAACTGGCTTGTACAGGAATCTTTCGTAATTACATCCATCTCTGCATCAGTTATTGTTTCTGTCTTTCCCTCATTCTTCGTCTCATTTCCCGCCTTCTTTCTGCTCTTTGTTATATTCTTGCTAGAAATGACTGGCAGTTCTGTAAAAGATTACACATAGAAAGAAATGCATTTAAACACAGCGTCATCTTCCCTATATTACTCATAGGTAACAGACCACCATAGATTTTCCTAATTACTGTAATATTTTTTCTATCATGCACGAGTTTAGGAATGGAAATCTTAGATACATAAAATGCAAGTAGTATACTAGTAAACATGTAATTAACTGCCCTATATGTTAACCTTACCAACATCTTAACTCTGTAATATTTCCGCCTCAAAATCAAGAATTTCCATCAATGTAAAGTGTAAATTTAAACTCCTGTCTCCGATTTTAGATAGTTTACATAAATCGTCATGCAAAGGGGTGGGTTGTGTGTGTGTGTGCGGGGGGGGGGGGGATTATACATATTTTCTCATTGGGAATCATTAGTTTCATTGTATTTTAATGCAAATCTCCAGTTACTTGATTTGGCGTGGAATAACCACATGCTATAATCAGTGGGTATCCTTCGCCGCAACTATAAAATCATAGATAATATACTATTGATTTCTGGTTGATAAAGAGCGCAGAAATTAAGTAATTATTTAAATGACTTCGAAATATCACCTGTAGTCGTCATATCATTGGTGCGTGTGCCCTTGTTCACTTGTGGGATGAGCCCATCAGTATCACCGGCCACAGAAATAGTGGTGGGCTTTAATACATCATTTAGTACACCTTCAGAATCATTATCGAAAGATGAAATTGGCCGTGTTGTATGGACGTATTTCTTGTTGTATTTTGGTGTGTCATCTCCAGGGATCAGAGTAACCTCGGACGATTCATCAGTTTTACTTCTATGGACATGAGTTACACGATTTTTATTGTTCCTCCAAGGAGAAGGCAACTTTTCTCTTGCTGAAGGATCAGTTGATTTAACAGTAGCGTCCAAAGCATTCCCCGGTTCGTCTTCTCGGGACTGACGGGTATTTCTAGATCGGTTAACCAGATTTGTAGGAGATCCTGGATTCCGGTTCAATGAAGATGGGTAGTTTTCATTGTCTGTTCGAGAATAACCCTTGGATGGAATTTCGTGATTTGATTCATCATCTACCTCAAACGGTTGCGCCAGATTGTTGGCTTTTTCTGTTCCCAGTTCTGACGCTTCCTCATCTTGACTGCTATCTGCAACACAAATATATTGCCAATGCTTTTTAAATACAAATGTGAGCATAGCTAATTCTGAGAAGTAATAAGAAGATGGGGAATAATAAATATACCCGAGCTAGATCCCACCCATTTCTTATTGCAAATTTAAACAAACTTCAAGTGGTTCTTCAATTCTTTTATATACCGTATCATAGACAACTATGGCATGTGCGAGGCTTTATTTGTGGTAACGCCTGCACCGTGACACAAGTAAATGTAGCCACACCACGCTAAGCCGTTACATGGTTTTCGGGAAAAGGGATGAGGTTCGTCTTATCGTGACCCCAATGCTTTACGCGAGATTTGAAACAAATCCATTAAAGTCTATAGCCTCGTGGTCACATGGGTTTGGAAGGTGTGTGTGTGTGTGTGGGGGGGGGGGGGGGGGGTGCATAACAATACAGTTTGTCCCCTCAGGCCACCAATGCTTTAATTTTAAAGAGTTATTACCTTCTTCACTTTTTGAACTGCCACTCATTAGCAAATAAACCAAATAATGCACAAAACTGTTTTTTTCGTTGATGTGATTCTTCATCTGTTGTTTGTCTGTTGAACAGGAAGATATTGTTTAAACCCGTCGTGATTATAACGTCTTACTTTTCTGCACCATCCGGGCTAATAAATACGGGCATACGCCACGCAGTGTGCTTCAAGGGAAATTTTGCACTAGCGCCGGCGCTACGGCTTATTCTACCCAGCAACATACGAATAATATGAAAAGCCAGTGTTTAATAATTTTGATAACCATAAATAGTTATGGGTAATGAAAAGAGCTTAAGCAAAATGAGGGAATATCTTGGTTACTACCCTTAAAGTGACAGTCTATATCTTACAGATATGCGCCTTTGTATTGCCTACAATATTGAATATTTTAGTACAAAGACGGTTACAGAGACTGTCACTTTAAGTTAGCAGAGATACAATATAAAATACAAATAAAACAACATTGAATATAAGAGTAGTATATTTTATTATAAAATTACAAAAATGCATCAAAACGTTTACAAAAAATAAAATGGAATGGTAGGTTAAAGTGACAGTCTCTGTATATAAGTCTTAAAACCCAAGTTATATTAGAGGTATTTTGGTGGGTTTCGGTTATTGTCTGCGATATCACCCAAGGTGGAAGCGAACGTTAAGCCTCAAGGAACGAGTGTGTTTCGGGTAAAGTATGATTAGTTGATACAAACAGACACGATTGTGATAAAATCTAAATCTAGATTACAATTTAGTTTGAATATTAAACTAGGCGACATTTTAATGAGATTGAATCCTGCACTACTGCCCTTATTATAAAAATGTTATACTATCAAATAAGTGTTTAAATGGTTATATAGATTTATTACTAAATGTTTAAAGGAGACGTCCCAGCTCATATAAATTCATGTCTGGTGTCTTTATATTATGTTATATTTAATAAAAGGAAAATAAACGACCAGTCTACATGTGGGGTTTTCGATAATATTTATCACTCTCCACATGGATACCCATGTTTATAAACTGTTTATAAACTTGTGGAGGTTTGTGAAATGTAATTTATAACCCTTTATCAGGACACAAAATTTACATTCGTAGGGAAATTTCTTATTTCAAAGCCCTTTTCAGACATGAGAAATGGTATATCATTTTGGCGATGCTTCTGCATCTTAAAGGCACTTATATCACGGTATAACATATAAAAAAACGGGGACATCTCCTTTAATATACGCATAACTAAATGTTTAATTTAAAAAATGATGTTGCTTAAAAAATCTTAAAATCGCTTTAAATGTTGGAGATTCAGATTACTAAACAGCTTATTTTCATAAAAGTTTTTAGATTTGGTTTTCTTACGTTCTTGGTGTTGGTTTATTTTCGTACGAAGATGATGGAAGAATCGCTGTCGCCAGGAACCATGGCCGTTACCATTGGAATCTTCTTCCGACGTTCCCCCAGATGAATTTCCATCTTCTGTAATAAAAATAAGTTTTCAAACTGAGGACATGCCCAATTCAAGAAAAATAAAATAAAAGTGTTTTAAGCAAGATTCCAAAGGGTCAGCTATCCCTGACATGAACGCGCCCTCTCTGATATACCAGAGGTATCTTTTCTTGTCTGTGATACCCCCATCCCCCTTGTTGGCAGCGGACGTTAACTCCCAGTCAGAAGCAGCAGCTGACATGAAAAATACTCCTCTCCAGCAGAGTTGTCTTCACTTGCAGTTCACACTAATGCTGGATAGCCTGACTTGCATGAGAAATGAAATGAAATGAAATGGGGTTTAACGTCCTACTGTTCTGCCCCTAACCTGGGCTAATGAAGACGGGCATACGCCATACAGTGGGCTATGAGGGAAATTTTGTCCGGGCAGCGGCGATACGGCCTACTCTTATATCGAATTCCAACTGCCAAGGGATCTTTTACGTGCATTCCAATGTATACATTGGACCTCGGTTTTTCGTCTCACCCGAAGGACTAGACAACTGTCCTTGTCAGGTCCTCTGTTCTGCACCACTGACAAGGGGAAACCACGTCGGAAAATCCAGATGAACTTTCTCGGCCAATGCAGGGATCGAACACCCGACCTCCAGGCTAGCGAGCCATCGTCTTAGCCACCTAGCCACAATGGCTCCGACTTGCATGAGAGAACCGTTGTCACATTAAGGGAAAAATTTTGAAAAAATGAAATAGGTTTAACGTCCCACTAATCTGCGTCGACTGGGCTCATGAAAACGGGGAAATCAATGACAGTCGTGTCCCCTTTGAGCCTTTACGGTATAGTTGTTGCCATGTGAGAATTCCCGTTCCGGTCCGATCATTTCTCTTACCATCTGATTCACCACCTGGCTTATCAAAACGATAACCATGATTGCTACCACGTGATATCTTCTTCCTTAAAATGTGTCTTGTCGTCAGGTAACGGTTGATGAATGGCGGCCATATTGGTTGCATATTAGAGTTGGTGATTGGTTTATTCAGAATTGATGACATCGTAGTCGTCATATCCATATTTGTTTCGCTGTTATGCAGTGTATTATGTGAGGAAGTAATAACGTCAGGTTTTGAGATATAATGAATTTCGTTCGATTTGTCGGTTGTGGATAACGGTCCACTATCGTCACCAGTGCCATGATTTTTAATATATCTTCTTGGTGGGTCTGTTACTGCAATAGAATATTTCAAATATAAGATTACACGCCAGAATGTTCACACATACCCCAAAAGTCAAAAATATGTACTCTGTTAATTTATAAAATTAAGCACACCCAGTTAAAAAATACCTTCACGAGGAAAAGAATGACTTCGACGAAAGACTTGGGGTCGTAACTTTTCACCTTACCATTTCCGATTTCAAGAATGATGCTGAATGCTGAACGATTTATGAGAAAAAACAATGAAATGCTCAATATGTTGGAGGAATAATCTTGAGAAAGGCATGGATTATCTATAAAATCGGGCCTACCTGTGGGCGAAGGTTGTTCAACGCCCGGTTTTTCATTCTGTGTAATGAAACTCATAGTAGTTCCCGACAGTTCTTGAGGTGAATCCCGAGATGCGTCAGGGGGAATACCAGGAGGGTTGTTATGGCGGTTCTTTCGAGTTACACCAGATGAGGGTGTGATGTTTCTTGTAATTACCGGAACATTTTCTTTGGTAATATAGTTTTGGGTATCAGTTTCTGGATTAGGAAGAACGGACGAATCGGGGTTTTTAGATTTAAAAGTCACACCACCAATATCATAAAGAGTTGTCACTGGATTTATTTTGGATGTCACGGTTTTAGTAGCAGGTGTTGTTAGCGGTGGCACGGAGTTTTGCGCAATTCCTAAATTTGGATTAATCAGTGTCGCAACCTGATTTGCAGATGTGGGAGTAGTTTGTAAGGTTCTGGTTGCTAAGGTTGTAGTATTGGGCATGGCAGTGGTTGTCATGGTAGTAGTGGTAGCGATAGTAGTTGTGGTTGTTCTAGCTGGTCGTGTAGGAAACGGCACATCAGAACAAGTTTCACAACATTCGGAAGTCCTCGTTGTTTCGTTGAAATCATTACAGGCCTCTTTAATACAGTTGCTTTGACGATCTCCAAACTCACAACCTAAAATGAAACAGTTTATAACTGTTGTCAGGTACTCTATTAATACCTTAAATCAATTTTCACCAAATTAAGTCAAAATGTAATTTATTCAAGCTTCTTACATTTTACAATTATGAGTTAATTGTTTGGAATCCATTGGGTGAGTTTAGAACAGAACGTCAGTGCTAACGTTAGTGTTTGTGTAAGTAAAAGAGTTAACCACAGCCTCTTAATCCTATGTCCAGGTTAGGAAAACGATTACACTTTTCAAAATATATTCAATTTTAAAATCGAAATTCATGGGACATTTTCAATAATCGAGGATGCTAGTACAATAAGGTGAACACGTGCCATTTAACACAATCTGCCAAGAATAGTATTTTTGCATAATTTTAGACCAGAACCCTAAAATTGACATACAAATGCGTTAAATATGAACAAATTGTAAAGAGAATTTGCTAAAAATGAATTTATTTGAAAAAATTAAATGATCTTATTTAAAAACAATATATGGCACTCGTCCACGTTATTGTATTCAATTAGTTTTTATCTATTTACCTTTAAGTACATTATTAGTGGATAATTATATGATTCGTGTGAGACAAACAGTTAAAACTTATGTTTTTACTTAATTATTTACCTCAAATCTCAACACTAACTCATTGTTTTGACCTCAACCCAATTTGCAACACTCTCTTCGCTCTTAATCACTGAAGTGTCACTCTAGTGTTTCCCTAATCTCAGCTCAGGAAAAAGCGGAAGCCATATGTGAATTCGTTTCCGGCAAGACTCAGTTTGCAACCTTGTTATTTTATCCACAATTATTTCCCTTTTTGGATTAACACTAGCGTTATATTACGTCATAAATATTTACTCAAACCCTACTTTTGCTCTCAGCCATTGCCTTTTTATTTACAATCAGTATGTTTTGTTTAATTTGTATACTGTACTCCGTTCGCGTCTGACATATTAACTTAGAAGCCGGATCATGTTCAATCACACTGTCTGTAATGATGAATTATACGGAAGTGTATGTGAATGTTTCTTCTGGGTTATAAACATTTGAAACATGGTCTGGGGAATCTGAATATTATATCTGTATGGTCTAATAGACTGGATAACCTGCTCTAATACGCCAGACCCGCTCCTACGTCACTCCTTTTCTGACTTGCATGAAGTCAGAATAGCGCAGTAACGTAGGAACCAGCCTGACGTCATTTAGAGCAGGTTATCCAGTCTATATGGTCTAATTGTCTAGCCAGTGTGCTTCATACTGTAAGGACTGTACGTGAAAGGAACTAAGCCCACCCGTCTTCGTTCGCGGAATTTCTCTGGGTCTATAACTGAAACAATGACAACCGGTTATCATAACACATTACATACAAATATCATGACCTATAACTCAAACAATGGCACATTAATGTACCTTGATGTTTACACTTGATAACTTTAAGAGTATTTTATGCAAATTACATGTTATGACCCATCAAAACAATAATCTGTGGTTGACATCTGTCAATGTACTATTAATTCAATTGTTCTAGTGTTAAAGTTATGTCGTAGAAGTTCAGTGGTTTGTAAAAACATAATAACTTAATGATCTAAATAATAATAATTTACTACCGTAATCTACCTTATTACCAGGGCGTAATTAGTGAACTCTCATTAAAATTCTAAATACATGAAAAACTCTTAAAATTTGTAAATGAATCAAGTCTGGGGTAAACAATACGGGCATATAAGAAAGCTAAACTTATAAAGAATCATTTGCGAGTCTCCTGTATATAATTGTAATCATTGGAACGTGTACGTTTAATTCAACGGTTGATAAATTATTTAAGAGAAATCTTATCTTTTATGCTGGAAAAAAACCCCACATTTTGGTCTAGTTTCTAGGCCGGTGATCTTAGTTACGAATGTCCATTACAAATTTCTTTATACTTGTCTAGATCCATTTCTATGCCGACTGGGCTAATGGAGACGGACCTACGACAGACAGCGCGCTATGCAGTAAATTTTCGAATTACAACTGTGAAGGTTTCTTTTCCGTGCACTGCAATGTATACAAAGGACTTCGGTTTTTCGTCCCACCCGAATGACAAGATACTATTCCTTGCCAGGCCCTCCGTCCTGCAACACTGACAAGGGGAAACCACGTCGAAAAATTTCGAGGAATGTTCTGGATAGCTAGCCAGCGTCTGACTGAATGAGCCACTGAGAAATTAGATACCACCCATTATAATTCAATAATTTCCAACAATGGTGGTGGGTTGGAGCGATGCGGAGGAATTAAAAGCAAATATTCATTCATTCATTTTACCTACCTGCTACCGTTGTATGTTTGTAGAAACAGGAATCACAACAATTTAAACGGAATCGTTCATCATAGCATTCCCATGGTGCACTAGAAACAAGATGGCGACAGGTCTGGTTATCTCGAACCACTACTGGAATGTCTCCAAACGGACAGTCATCTTTAAAAGAACAAAACAGTTGAAACATACAAATTGCAGAATCTTAATTACTGGTGTTATTAACCGTTTCTTTCTATGTTCAGTCTCTAAAGCAGCATAGGCTATTGTTCATTCACCAAGGGTATTATTGGAGGTTGACTAACTACTTTTTTTGTCGTACAATTTCGATTCTTTACCATCACAGCAAATCTTAGATATTGCATGTAGGAGATTGAGAGTGAGTGACTTGTGTTTTTGTGTTTATTGATAAAACTGAATGTCGAATCTGTATATATGTTTAAATTGAGTTTTATTAAGATAAACTTGTTATAAATACCTGCTAGTCTATTGACAGACATTTCTTCTACACACGTCCCATTAATACACCACTGCAACATATTATAATAACATATTATAAACATAATTATATGCATACTTACTATATAATATATTGCATTAATACATCACTGTAATAGATTATAAATATAATTGTATTGATCCTTACTATATAATATATTACATTAATACACCACTGTAATAGATTATAAATATAATTGTATTGATCCTTACTATATAATATATTACATTAATACACCACTGTAACAGATTATAAATATAATTGTATTGATCCTTACTATATAAAATATTACATTAATACACCACTTTAATATATTATAAATATATTTATATTGATCCTTTATGCAAAATAACTGAGGCTCCATTGATGCCTATTTTTATGCATACTAATATTAGAGATAATATTTTCTATGTGGAGTGGGGGTGATGGACGTTTTTAACACAGTAGTGACTAGTTTGTGCTTATTTCACTAGTCGGCGCAGTATTGCCACCCAATCATTTTATAATTTGAATTAGCAAATACAAGCACAAAAAACACGTATTCGTAATGGACAGATTTTACGGGTGGCAAGGGAATTATGCATAGTCGTTCGGAAGGGACGGCAAACCCGAGATCCATAAGTATACATGTAAAATAATTAAAGACAGCTGGAATTCGTTGGAGAATAGGCGAAAACGCCGCCGTTCGGACAAAATTCCTCTGTCTCTAATTACGCACGTAACCATATAACCATAATGAACATAATATGTGTCCCACAAAACGACTGAGGTACCGTGCTGACGAGACATATACAGGGTGAAATATAGAGGGGTTTGTTAATTCAAACATCGTGGTCATTTTTAATTTATTTTTCAGTCAAAACGACATAGTTTCGAGTAGAGACGTACCTTAGTTTTAGCACACGGTGTACCATCAGCTGGTAATATTTTAGAACACATACCAATATCTGTGTTATAACATAACATACCCTGGCTACAGGTACTACTAAAATCACCACGATGTTTCTCCTGCAAATAGTTTTTTTCAAATCAAGGTTAAAGAATAAAGATGATAGAACGCACGTAATAATAAGTATGGCAATCATTATGGTGTTAAACTGCAAACGATACCACAATCGGAATAATGTTAAAATGTAATGATAACACAATAAGAAAACGTTAAAATGATACCACAATCAGAATAAATAGACATGATACCACAATCAGAATAACTGGACATGATATCACAATCAGAATAAATAGACACGCTACCACAATCACAATAAATGGACATGGTACCACACTCAGAATAAATGGGCATGATGCAACAATCACAATAAATGGACATGATGCCACAACTAGAATAAATGGACATGCTACAACTATCAGAATAACTTTAAAATATACGATATCATGATAGCACAATTAACTTCAGTATGAAGCATACATACGACATTACCCAATCAGATTAGGCCGCCATTGTATCGCCATTTTAACCGACAATCTAAAAATTCGATAAATTGAGACATTTGTAGATTTCTAATCAAGTGTACGCCCCTCACAAGCAATACTGCAATGTCTGTTAAAAGGCTTTGGTTATTGTTACATTTGACTGGATGTCTAAACAACCTCAAACACATTATCGTGCTGTCGTCACAGACCCAGAACGGGATTTTCTTAAAATGAACTCAAGAGTTTAATGTAGTGACCATCCGAATAACAATACCATCTGGTTTTGATTAGATCTTACCCTACGACATACCACCATGGCTTACCTTACAGACATAAGACATATCGCCATGACAAAATACATTCCCCCATGACTTAGCATACAGACAAAAGACATAATTATCACAATGACTTACCTTACAAAGAACATATTCCCATAACTAGGCATACATAAGACATATAATTATGACTTACCCTACAGACACAAGACATATGACCATGACTTACCCTACATACATAAGACCTGTCACCCTGACTGTTTTGACATTGTATATCTGATGTATATATCTCTCCAGGTTGATTGATCAGAAACCCAGATATCTCCTTTATATCTTGTAGAGCATCACGAGTCTTTAAGCAATACGATCCGTGTCTAAAATATAAAAACAAAACACCGCACATCATATTTTGGGTGATATCAGTCTCAGTCGATCAAATAGTTATGATAGTTATTCTTGGCGCGGGGATCACGTGGCTAAGTGGGTAAGACGCTGGCTCATTAGCCTGGGGGCCGGGTGTTCGATCCCTGCATTGGCCGAGAAAGTTCATCCAGATTTTCGGGCGTGGTTCCCCCTTGTCAGTGATGCAGGACGGAGGGCCTGACAAGGACAGCTGTCTGGGACGAAAAACCGAGGTCTCGTGTGCACATTGGCGTGCATGTAAAAGATCCCTTGGCAGTTGGAATTCTATATAAGAGTAGGCCGTAGCGCCGCTGCCCGGGCAAAATTTCCCTCATAGCACACTGTATGGCGTATGACCGTCTTCATTAGCTAGTTTAGGGACAGAACAGTGGGACGTTAAACCTCATTTCATCATCTTCATATTCTTGGCGCTCTGGTGGAATCGTTATTTCTCTGGGTTATCTGTGTGATAGCTAGTGGTAGATTAGAAATGGTTCCATTACTAATGTCTTCCATCTTACTCCAGCGACAGTAATGGATCGACCTACGGAGTTCCTTTGAGCAAGCCCAAATGCTACCCGAAATTTCTCTCCTATTTAATTTAAAATGCCTGCCCAGCCAGAAATAGTATGCGCACTTTGTCTCACATGATCACACATATATGGCATCCATAGTAAAAAAGCGTATTAACACTGCCTTATAAGGGAAGCGATGTTTGGCGATATTTTACTTGGGTGGTGTCATGGCGGCTTGTACATTATAAGAAATATCACTTCGAAAAACTGTTCGGTAACTATTTTCGTGGTCCAGTCTTCACTAATTGTGGTTGAATTACTTATTTCAATACAAACTGTAATGATATGTGTTGACAATTGTGCGTTTGAACCTATTTGTACTTGCGCAAGGTCTCTCAGACTATATCAAATGTAGCGCTAAACACAGCGCGATAAATTGTAGCTAGTGTTAGACAATTGGAATGGCAAGGTTTTTAGAGCTAGGTCCTATAATTTATGTGTTTAAATGGCCCTATAAGCTAATCGTAAATACCAGGCATATAAACATCTCTAGAATTAAAATCCATCAAACAACTAAAGATCTTCGTTGACTTCACCCCCTGAATCATACGCCTTGTTGGATTGAACAAAATATTCTGTGTCAAATACGATACAAAAGCCTTAGCAACCAATCATTACTGCGTAACAAATCAAACGGTATTATCCAGAGCCAAAAATATGCTTAAAAGTAGGATTGATCGAATTTTATGGGAATACCGAAGTATAACTCATATAAGAGTCTTACAATTGAAACAAAGCGTCAAATAAAAGTCGAATATTTCGTTTCACTGAACCGGACTTGTTTTACGTGGATAACCTGTTACCTTTTCAAAGAGAAAATAAAATCTTTGAAATACTGTATACTACATTTGGAGAACCTGTAGGGATTGGCGGCTTTACTTTTACTAGGGAATTTAAACCGTGACGTCATTATATACAGCTGGAATGACAGACATGTGTTTTCATCCATATCATGACGGGCACCTAGACTGAAATATGAAAACAAAACATATGGTCAATTTAAACGCCAGAGAACAAATCCATGGTTTGAACCCTTTTGGGGCTTAAAATATATTTCTTCTGGATTCAGAAAGAAAAAACAGTATAAATGTTTCTAAGGTCTAGCCGATGTTTCGAAATCTCCCCCCCCCCCTCCCGCCCCTCTCCTACATTCTGCAGGGCTAACATAGTACCATATAGTACCATACCAAATCCTTTAAATTAGTCCGAGGAATAAAATTCAATGTGTAAAGCAGTGGCATATGGAGGGGGTGGGGTGGGGGTTTTGTCCACCCTCCTTCAGGCGACCATACGAACCATGTTTATTTCATAGATTGTGATGGATACAGCTCAATTGGTCATATTTGTATTTTGACACCACACGCGATTTCTATAATTAAAATGAATGTTAAAATTATTACCTGTGCCCTAGCTCGTGAGCAGCAATAGAAATAACTCTAAACTCAAAATATTCTTCAACAATCGAGAAAAAATATTCACTGTTACATATAGACCTCAAATACGCCAACCCTAGAGAGAAGAAACCTAGTACAGTAAATTAATGTCTTTATTGTCATCATTGGGGTCTAATTAAATATATACTCTTAAAAAAGTAGGGGATATTCAGAAACAATACAAAACTGCGGAAATGTTTTTATTAGAGGTAACCAGTGTATGTTAATAACAGGCCAATTGCCTACACATGAACATAAACAGTTCATATGGGCGGCTTATCTGACGGCCCCATTTCACTCGCAAAGAGATACACCGTCAAAAGTGAAAATGGACGTTTTTGACTTTTGTCTTAATAATGAGTAATTGCTCCACCAATCCTCAGACATTCAGCAATTCGTCGTGGCATGCTCCTAGTCAACCGTCCAATCACGATTTCGGGCAATCTGAGCCACCCCTGTTGCAGTGCCACGACCGATTCTTGGCGCTATTGCGTGTCGTACATGCAGCTCAGTGGTTCTGTTGGGGCGATAAGTTCTTCATCTGTGAACATACTCTCAAAGCATGTCAAGTGTTCATGACTATTTATCATATCACAACCTGCATAGGTATTTGCATTTCAATATCCCCTACTTTTTTTGAAGAGTATATGTAACATGATGCTACATTAAATTTAGTTTTGTGAATGTATAATTCGTTTCTAAGCGATGTATTCACTGCTTCATTACATTTTGCAGGGTTTTGGTGAACAAAAAAAAAAAAATAAAAATAAAAAATAAAAACCAAAAAAAACTTCAATCTAATTGAAATTAGATTACAATTTCGTTTCGTATTTTTTTTATACACTTGTTGTATAGCATAAATTTCAAAATGGCTACTTTTAGACACAGTTGAAAGATTTGATAACATAACATGCTTTGTGAACTCATTGTGCCGCCCAGCAGTCCGTGGTATTATTCATATTTTAACATTAAAATGACAATCAATAAAACTAAATATTTAAAGATGCATTAAGAGCTAAATGTTATTATAAATCTTACTTAGACATTTATTTACATGTCAAGCTCATAAATTACTCTTTAGACCATCAGGTGGTCGCGATTTTGAATTAATAGCCATATAATAGTGAGAGTTGACAATGAAGACTATATTGTGAAAACTTCAAAGACTGAAAACCTCGAACAGAATAAGGTAAATTTTCAATATAGTCATTATTCATTATCTACTTTTAAACTATTATAGGCAGTCCTTTCTCTAAATCTTACATAATACATCTTTAACAAACTAACCCAAGAATTTTTTAAAACTGCTGATAAAATTAAAGTATTAAATACCTGCGTTTGATGTTGACCCGCCATACGTTAAATTAAACCTGTAATCGAAATAGAAGCTTGAAAGAAAACCGTCGGAACTCTCGTTGTTTCGCCTGAGCTGCTTTTCTTAAGTTGCAATCGATTTTAAAGAACTATAGCTCCCCCCATTTCCTTATTTTTTTTACATAAGCTAGCTGTATAATATTTATAATCAATTTTAAAATTTATTTCCGAGTTTAAACAGTTTAGTATTGCTCAAGAAAAATGTTGTTTCATACTAAGGTACCCAAACATTAGGCAAGGGAACTTTTTCCTTGTGTTACATAAGGATGAAGATAAAGACTGATATATATTAATCATACACACAAATGACCATTACCACATTGATCAGCAGTAGATATTTGCTAGGCCGCTACAATCCCTAAGAGGGATTTCATCGGTGCGGCTTAATGAGCTCGCAATATTAACGTTTTACCTTCTGCAAATTAAATTCTAGAACATTTTTTTTTTTGAAGTAGTAAAAAAATAAAAAAAGGAGTTTGAAGTATATCTGGGTAAAAATATTTCCTATTTAGTGTAAATGAGTATATAACATGCTTAAAAGGCGCCATTCTGCCCGGACCAGTACACGTTGCATAAACATTGCACGAGCTATCGAGCCAATGATTGACGCCGCGTGATGTGACGTCAATCCTAGAAGGAATTTGAACTTCTATAAAGGTCAAGTCATCTTATGCAGAGGTAGAAGTTGTAGCGATCCCTAAGACGGAAAAAGTTCTTAAGCAAACGGTGTCTTACCGGCCGGCAAGTCTCACTTCGACGCTTTGAACGATAGGTTAATACACTACGTAGAGAATAACCAGCTGCTAGACAAGAACCAGAGCGGTTTACGTCGGGGTCGCTCCAATTTCGATCAAATTGCCAGACTTTAGCATGACATGACAACAACCGCAACGAGAGGCGAGTCTTACTCGTATGTTGTCTTAGTTGATCTGTCAAAAGCTTTCGACCTTGTCTGGACAGAAAGACTGTAAAACAAACTGTCCTTGGTGGGCGTACATGGTAACGTGTGTAACTGGATAAAGAGTTTTGTCTCGGACAAATAAGGGTTACAATTGGCAAATACCTCAGCAAAGAGACCGGATTGGAAAACGAAACTTCTCAGGGATCAGCTATAAGCGCCACTCTGTTCCATATCATGGTGAACGTAATAAAAGAATATCTTGGCAAAGATATTTCTCTTGCTACGTTTGCGGACGATAGTACCCTTTATTCGCAGGTTTAGAAATCTATGCATGGAGCCCTGAATGGGATTCACCACTATGGCAAATGATTCGGGCTTCCAGATCTCGGCTCCAAAACCTGTGGGCATGTTAGTGTGCTAAGACCCCGAGGTTACCCGGAAGTCTCTGCAGCTCAATGGTCAGAATATAGAATTCAAAGACGAAACCAAGTTCCTTGTTGTAAACTTTGATAGAAAAGTTACATGTAGTAACACACACTCAACGCATATTGAACTACGGGTCATGAATGGGGAGCGAACCGGGTTGCCCTCATGATGATTTACCGTTCTCTAATACACCCTGTACTGGATTATGGCTGCATGGCTTTCTTAAATGCAAGACCCATTACACTTCGAAAATTAGACACCATACAAAGCAATTTGTATTGATACAGGGTGCGGGATGTGGGTCAAGCGTGAGGCGTTGCTACAAGAAGTAAGTGAACCCCCTCTGTCACTACGAAGGAAACCACTTACTCTGGGGCATTGTGTCAAACGTAGCCGATTGAGGGAAAGCTGCCTTTCGCGAAATCTCGAGGTTTACCAGAGTCGGGGACAACAATAAGAAGGCCAAAGGCAATCATACCATGTTGTCCTATCGATTCTCTACGTAGTCTGGAATCAATAAGGAACCAGAGATCGGTGCCCGTCCCAAACTATTGACCCAAATTTACCTAGCCTACGAAGACTCCCTGGCAAAGGGCAACAGAGTAGTATTGACATGGGCCCCATCGCACGTAAATCTAGGGGGAACGGTGAGGCGGACAGGCTCGCCCCGAAAGTGTCAAAACTGGAGGAACCCAGCGGGAAAATCGGTCGGGTAATCACAAAGCTGAAGGTGAAAGAAACGCTCAGACATCGTACCTTTAAATCTATAAGGTGTAGTTGCAGCACGGATGTAACCCCAGCACATATTCTAGTAGACTGTGATCGCCTCACAGCCGAAAGGAGACCCCAGCCATTAACACGGCTCTCAGTGTTCCTAGATATTACGATGTGATCCCGGAGGAACAAGAAGAGTGTTCTACTCCGTGAAGACTTGAGGTTTACCCCAAGACCCAACGGACGGGATCCATAAGTGATCATCCAGAGGACTCCTGTTAGTCGGACGTCCCTAGGTTAAGGGATGTCGGGTCTCCTGTGGGGTCGTTTTTGTCTTTTCGTAAGGCTAATGGCACGACAACGCCTAGTCCGGTGAATGTTTGCTTACATCCGCTGGTTCTAGGTCGGAAAGGCGCCGGGCCCTCGGGCTCGACTGACAGTCTGACCTAAATACCTACCTTATATAACATCGTAGCATTAATGATAAAGCGGGTCAGATTGAGCACGCTCGCTACTTCCAATACCCGGAGCTTTCTCCTGTGGATGAATTTCACCTTGGACGAATCCCTGCAAAGACATTGTGTCTTTACCCAAAAGCTGGAATAAGCCTATTTTGTGGCCTCTTCTGGCAAGTTTCTTAGGAAAAACTTGTATGCGATATCACCCTAGGTGGAAGTGGCCGTAAAACCCAAAGACCGAAAGAACGTACAGAGGTATTGCGATAACAATACCTCTGTGAAACAGATTGAATCATTACCATACTATGATTTTGTAACGGAATCAATATTGTGGTATTTGTCAATGGTGAAAAAACCCCATTAATTTTGGATGTCAGTGTTCGTGATCAACAAATAGGCTTCATAACATAAATAACAAAGTTGAATAAAAAAAAAAACAAAACATGCATAGCCCTACCCAGTAAATAACATAACATGATCACTAGGAGGAAGTGACGTCATGTTACTTAGCACCCACTGTCTAAATGTCTCGAGAGCATCAGATGATTCCACCAAATCTCCAGGAAGTAAACTGCTTGGCGATAAATACGAGTCATTGTCGTCCTTCAAAACAACATTCCAAAACAAAACATAAAACAGTCTATAATGCCTTGTGGGATTAGTGACTAATCATAACTCGTCATGGTCGTCCTTCAAAAAAAACCCATCCCAAACAAAATATGAAACAGTTTGATGCCTTGTGCGGTTAGAGACTAATGATAACTCGATATACTAGGGGTGTGACGGCGGGGTGGGGGTGGTCGAATAGGAGTGTAAGGTGAGCGCTTTAAATCATAGGGTTCGTGATCGATTCAAGTTTCATGTGCGCTTTAGATCATAAGCCCCCCCCCCCACACACACACACACACCCAAACTTAGTTGTGTGGACAAGAAATTACTGAAATAAAAAAAGACCATGTTGGTTAAGAAATGTACCAGTTTGTGCTGAGTTCATATCCGCTCTCTCTGGTCTGATTTTGTTGGTCTGGTATTTAAAATTGTTTAATGGTTTTGATCGGTTTGAATCTGGCAAACCAACGAAAACAACATGGAGGAAATTGATATTTTTTTGTTCAAAACTTACATCAAATATCAGAATACCAGCGAAAGTCACGTCTATCTGTAAATCTGGTTCTTGTATAGAAGCATAGCGTACATCAATCTGATTATAATAAATATATAAATAAAAACAAATATACGATTACTGCAATCACTGAACAAGGCCATTTAAACATAAACGTGAGCAAATCTCTTTAGAAGAGTTTGGTCCAGTATGTCTCCAAAGTCAAATACAAATTTCACGCGGAATTAAATGTTTTTATTTTTCAATTTCCTGTGAAATTGACTAATACATTAGTCGTACACATTAAAAAAAACGTTGACGTTTTTGTACCCAAATTCCTCCTCTCAAACTGCAATATTACTGATCTAAGTAAGTCAATCTAGGCTAGCACAGATAAGTTTACCTATTGTTTATCTCTGGGAAAACTCGTCGGCCATTTCGAATGTCACGTGATGTATCCTTCCGTCGATCACTTCACAAAGATCCAAGATGGCGGCTCAAACTCGCGTTTCAGTGTTAGATCTATTTGATAAGGCCAACTTCTTCAAGTTTGGTCAAAGGTCACGAAATGTAAACAGGGCTAGCGCTAATCCCAACTAAGTTGGCCTTAAGAAATAGATCTAGCCTTTCTTCAGAAATTTCGCGTATTTAACCGAATCACTCTCATTGCGCGCTAAAAGAAATAGTTCAGGAGCCAGTGGGGCGGAGCTTAGGAACCAATTTAAGACTGATCAATGGCCGGCGAGTTTTCCAAGAGATAAAGGACGGGTAAACTGATCTATGGGAGCCGAGATTTCAGTTTTCGATAAACAGGAAGAGGAAAGAGAACGTGAGTGGCGACTAAACCCCGTATGGTGCTATAACACCCACCACGGAGTAAAATTGAGCCCGTCGTAAGCTCCATTACTTCATCCCTTACGTCATATCATTCCCATTTCAGTTAAACTTGAGTAGCTATTAAAAGAAGACACATACCCCATTGAGAACAAACGCATAGTATTGTTTAATAGTCTCGATTGTCTTGTCCCTTCTCTTGACAGGATTGGATTCTTTTATACCATTATACCATCTAGATAGAGTTATAAAAACAATATTAAAGTAATATACACCAAGAACAATATTAAAGTAATATACATTTTTTTTGTGAGGATACTGACGTTAAAATCAAGATGTCAATCTCCAGAGTTAATTTATATATGGTTACAGACCAAATAACATAGAATTCAAAAGTCCATCACGGATAACATGAAGTAGGTTTCAATTTACAAATAAATCAAATTATGAAACATAATACTATACAAAACCACCTAAGTCACACGTCAAATTCTTTATATCCTTGTTTTGACCTTCAAACGAGGTTGTCTGTGAACGTAGAGCCGTAAATGCATAATTAGTGACGAGGTCAGCAATTGACGTTTGGTAAATAGCATGACCATCAGCAACTTACGTTTGGTAGATAGCATAACCATCAGCAACTTACGTTTGATAATTAATAGCAAGACCTATAACAATCAGCAACTTTGATAGCATGATAGCATGATAGCATAGTTTGATAGCATGACCATCAGCAACTTACGTTTGGTAGATAGCATAACCATCAGCAAGTTACGTTTGATAATTAATAGCAAGACCTATAACAATCAGCAACTTACGTTTGATTAATAGCATGGTCATCAGTAACTTACGTTTGGTAGATAGCCTGATATATAACCATGATTAACTTAAGTTTGGTTGATAGCATGATATATAACCATCAATAACTTTCGTTTGTCAGATAGCATGATATATAACCATCATTAACTTACGTTTGAAAAACAGCAAGATATATAGCCATCATTAACTTACGTTTGGTAGATAGCATGATCTATGACCATCAATAACTCGACAGTATATATATTATCTACAACCAATTGACGTTTATAACGGTTTATAGTATTCTCCAGTGGGACATCGTATTCACCTGAAAAGATAGATAGCAAACGTAATACAATTTAGATGAAAGTTTAAATGCGGTTACTTGTGCATCTAGATCTGTATTTCATTAAGTGGGTAATAAAAGCTTATCATACAGATTATAAAATGATTAGTTGATCCACGTTTCAATTTCAATTTAAGTTGACAACGTTACACGGATATAACGTCAAAATTAGGCCCCAAAGAAACATTACAGACAAACTTTACTGTATGTAGATTGTATCCATTTTCATCTAATGAGATGCTACATGCATAAGCTTAATTTTACTCACACCTGCCATGGACGTTACAGTAAAACTTACCAAATTTAATTATATCATCTTTCAAATTAAGATGCTCATTCAGGATACTAATGGTATGATTAAAGGTCATAGAAAAGCTTGGTTGAGTTTCTTTATTTGGTTCGATTGGTTCTATACTGTACTGGTTATCTTCAAGGTAATATGTTCCCATCTACAAAAAAGGGACATAATCAACAAAGGGAGACAATAATACAATTTCTAAAATTTGGTTTTATTCTTTGTTTAATACTATAGGCCTATTGGTGGTCCTCTAGATACTAATATATTCATATCTATAAAGGACAGTTAATCTATGAACAGGCGAGATAATTATCACCTGTTTCTATAGCCCCGTTCATTAAGGCTGCTGTCTAATTTCCAAAAACAGATTGAGTCAGCGGTTGGACTGTTGTGACTACTTCCGTGGTCAAAGGAGGAGGTAATCTGTTATGGCGAGATTCGTTCTACTTTTTTGAAAAATGCATTGGTTAGTTGAATAGGAAAAAGAAGAAAGGGGTCATTTTTAGTCACAAGTTGTGTCCTTAATTGTGTCGTTCAACCTACATTCAATTAAATTCCAAGTTCTTGTTAATGTTGTTTTACGTGCTCTTCAATGTGTACAATCAATGTTCTCGATTGTCCGTCCCATCTGACTGACTAGACAACAGTTTTCCTATCAAGCCAACAGACGCCACCGATGACAAGAAATTCGTCTTCCAAACTTTGTATTTTGACTATTGGTTAGGATCGACTTTATTTATGTTTATCAAACTGTTTTAGATGGTACAGTTATTTATCATTATTGCTTTAAACACCCCTTCTAATCTTTCAGTTGAATACAACATCTTGTAATTATTTGGGTGGGGGTGGGGTCGATGAAACTGGACATAACCGGACATTGTCTACTGTGAGAGTCCGATATAACTCGAGGGAAGGAGTTGGAGTGTACGCTCACACTATAGATCAAAAGATCGGTCATTGATTTCGTTGGCGTGGTTTCGATTCCAAGATTGATATAGATGTGACAAGGATTATGATCGCCTGCCCAACCACGTGGGTTTCCTCTGGGATTTTTACGTTTTCCTTCCACTACTATAGACCCCTACTTATGACCTAGTTTGTGTTGAGTGGCCGTTAAACCCCTAAGCGGACGCTTTCTTTCTGTTTTATTTGGAGGCTATAATCATTTCATACGTCATCAATATTCAAGATAGCAGAAGAATACTAAGATTATTTTTTGGTATTCTTGTGTGTCTCGGTGGCCTAGACGTTTTACGCATGGATGGTGAAATGATTATCCGATGAAAGTTTACGGAATTAAAATTGATCGGGACCTTAAGTGAGCAATGGGGCAGTACGAACTATCGTAAAGATCGGAGGTTGAAAATAGCCATAGCTTACCAGTTCATACATATCTGTCATCTGTTCCTGTCTTCTGACCATAATAGACGCTCCCTTGGTTACATCCTGGTAAAAAGCTACATCTTTTGTCTTGAATGAAGAAAATACAACGAATGAATAACAACATGTTAAAGTTACGAGTATTATATGTACACGAGTAAACCCGTACAATGCGGGTACTATCGGAAATGCAGATTCCAGTTCAAATAGATTAAAGATACATTATGGGAGATATTTATAGAGAGTTGGTCATTTTTGCTATAACAGTTCAAAAGTAGATGATGAAAGAAGAATATATTGAAAAATTCAGTCAAATTACTTTATTCTGAACATAGTTATCATCGTTGTAATATTTGCCTAGAAATGGTAGCGAAATGTGTCTTCACCGTCGCCGAACGTTTGATTGACAGGCGTTAACTCCACCTACATATCTCGATTATCAAGTAAAGTTTTCAATGGCATACGGAAACGCTTTACAGCGGCCTCGCTAAGTACACTCTATCATTTAGCCTCGATCTAACTGACGTATTTTCATCAGGTTACCCCTTATCTGATTTAATCAATTAGTGAAATCCTATTTAAATCCGAGCTGTAGCCGAGCCATCCGTGGGTCTACAGAGTTGATTTTGGTCTTGTTGTTTAAATAAAGATCTAATTTATAATTTCTATAACATCTAAATCCTAAATTAAGACTTGCAATAATCAGATTTAGCTCTTGCATAATGCATGTTTAATGTATATGTGTATATGTATATAAACGTGGTGTATATGATGTACTTATAAGTAACAGAGCCAAATAAAGGAACTTTTAAGTGCGATTTATAAACAATGTTATTGTAAATATGTATGTATTGGATATTAACCTATCCGAGGTTGATCTCATAGAGAGCACACGGGAGAAGGGTTATATCCGACATATACAACGTCATAGTTTTAATCATCCTTAAACTAAATGGATTCTGCTATTTGAAGTCAACAATGATTGGATAATGACTCGATAATTTCCGCATATTACCGAACTTAATCACGTGAATATACGTGCAGGTTTCTTTCAAAATAAATGGACTCGCGTGATTAAACGTGCGGGTTTCTTTCACAATACCTTCTCGCCATTTTGGAGTCTCGATAGGTTCATTTGAATTAAACGCAAAAATGAAATGGATAGTAACACATTACCAGACGAAGAATTAATCCCTTTTAGCCAACAGATTGAAGGCGAAATAGATGTGAATTTCAATTCCGACGAGGATCTACTAGTTGCTAGTCAAAAAGCTGAAGAAACTTTTGATCAGACGAGGGCAATGTGTTCCAATTTTTCTGACTGAACCTGAAAGGTTTTCAATATGTTAAGAGTAGGATTTAACGGACTGTCTCAATTGGGCTGTCCACCAAAATACTAAACGAAGGGACTGTTGGGCCATAAATACTTTCAAGTCTTGGAGTGTGTATGGAAATAAATCTACATGTGGACGAAGAGAAAATTCTGAAAGATATTTTAGACATGGATAATTGAATTGTTGAGGGTAAGTTTCCTTCAGATATTTTTATAAGCCTATAGTTCTTTTGTACATATCGTATTATCGTGGGCAGGTTGAATTTTGCTTGATATTTTTAATAAACTTGTGTAACATATAATTACTGTGTGGATATCTTTCAGGTGTCAAGTGTATACACAAGAACAAAAGTGATTTGTTACATGAAAGAGGGTCGATTTCCAGCAATGCAACTGATGCAAATAAATACGAAATTAAGAGTCCGATCTAAATATACCGATAAGTACATCTGTTTCGGTGCTGAATGCAACTAACTGCACCATAAACGTTTGTAACTGTTAAGAGAATAAAAAAAGTAATTTCTGTGTTCTTTATAATATTTCATCAACGTCATCAGAGGTTGATATGAAGAGGTTAATATGAACCGAATATATCAACCTATAATGACGTCATGACAGATTGATATAATATATAACTTGTATTCACATCAAAGTAAAAACTACCACCAGTTGTACATGTATATAAAGTTTTAGAACCCCCCTTTAACAAACAAACAAACAAACCTTATGATTGGTTGAACCTAGAGGGACTGCTTCACCCTGTCTGTGTAGGAATACAGGAGTATTGATACCAACATTAGTATTCTTCTCCAGGTTAAGCAAAACCTGATCACCACCGTACTGAAACTCAAATGAAAGAGTTCCAGGTAGAGCTGGTGATCGCTTGGTTCTATCAGTGGCCGTATCTGATGTAGATACTAGTTCTACGGTCACCTCGCCTGAAATAATATTAAATGTTAAAATCATCCACATTTTATATCATAACTATCGAAATGTGTGTGAACATTCCCGGACAGTCGATTCTGAATTCTATCTGCCAAGGACTATTTTACGTGCATGTCAACATGAACACGGGACCTTGGTCTTTAGTCACACCCTGTACGAATAGACGCTGTCCTTGCAAGGGGCAACACTGACAAGGGGACACCACGCTGGAAAAATCACGGGGAAACTTTCTCGGCCTACATCGGAATCGAACCCCGAACCTCCTGGCTAGTAAGCCAGCACTTTTCTTACTGAGACACCACGGCCCCCACCCCATATACGTAATCGTAACAAAGATAATTTGATTACAAAAAGGTGTGTTAATACTGTGATGTATTGCGTGGACTGAGACTAACAAGGGGTCCCGGGTTGCATCTCATTGTCAGTAGTGTAAGACGCAGAACATGGCAAGTGTCTAGTCGTATGGGTAGAACGATAAATCGATGTCTCGTGTGTACCAATGGATTCAGGCTAAAGCCTCCCCCCCCCCTCTTCAGTTGGAAAATCGAAATAAGATTGGGTCGTGACGCATTACCTCATAGCACAATGCATGGATTATGCCTGTCTTCACTAGGCAAGTGCAGAAATGTAAAGCGTTTAATTCTATTTCGCTTTATTTGTCAGGACATATTACTTCAGCGTGGACTCAAATGAGATAATACCTAATCAGATTTACTAATTGTGTTTTTCCAACCTCTTAATCAAAAATATGATCTACATATAATAAAAAGAAAGAAATTTTTAAAATATTTACCCAATTTTTGTGAATTCAAATTACGGAATAAATTCACTCCGCTAACAGAAGAAAACTCCATATACAGCGCTAACAAAACGATCCACTTCATTTTGCAATTCATTTTATATCTGTATTCGCTACTTACAAACACAGAATATGCGCTGTTAAGATGGTCTTTGACAATTTCTAAGCCTAGATCTTAAATAATTCTCAAGGTATTAGTATAAAATATCCGATAATCCACAAACATATCCCGTAGAGCGCCTTCAATTAATTCAGCATCAATTAATGACTCACAATATTGTTTTCTCTGATAAAACAGAAAAGCCGGTTCGAGTGTATTTTAAACTACTTTCTGACACAGTATAAATATACAAGTAGATTCTTCAACAAAACAAAGTTTAAACTTATATATAAACGACATTCGTTTGCGAAATAAGATTTTAAAAATTTGACAAATAATTTTAGTATGCACCGAACACATGGTTAAAGACACATTGTGACTAAGGATAGGGACTGGTCATTAGGATGATAAAATCTCTGGCTAAGCGAAACTTGAACTAAAATCAAATACGCAAAATGTGAATGTGCAGAATTTGAAGAGACATCACACTTTTAAAATATACACAACTGTGTTATATTAAATTAAGCAGTTTATCTCTTTTTGGATATTTTTGACAGATAATTAATAAAAAAACAAATTTGATGTTTCATGTAAAAGTGAAGTTTATTAAGACACACAATATTTGTTTTTAGTAGGCCCATTACTATGTGAAATGTCCCATTAAGTTAGCATCAAAATGGAAGAATGTATCTTTCCTGCGTACATGTATGTCTATGCTTGTTATCTTGTAGCCACCGCCAATTTTTGTGAAACTTGAAACCGGAACAAGTTATTGGTATTCTTAGCATGCAGTTCAAATTGCAGTCGTCCATTGTTAAACTACAATAGCGGGGCATTTGCTGTACGGTGTTTATTCTTTTCCCAGTCATGTTCCTCGTCAATCACCTTGTCAAAAACACAACTGATAGTATCGACTTCCCGTTCGTTTTCAGTATTGTAATCTGAGCAAACAGACACAGGCATCGGGTATAGCGTCCACCCCTTACTAAGCAGGTCATTTCGATTCCGCTAACTCTTTGTCGATTTCCAACTGCAATGTCTTCTTTACTTGGTTTCATCAGATCGACTAGGCATACTTTAGTTTAACAAGGACACCCGTGAAAAGTGATGGTCGTACTGATTGGCGGTCCCGTAGCCAGCTCATAAAATTTGGTGGGGCTACGGAATTTTTTGGAGGATGTGGCCGGCTAAGAACGCTCCAAAGAAATCATTATTGTTGGCGAAATATTTTTTTTTTTGGGGGGGGGGGGAACTAATTCGATTTATTTTTTTTTGGGGGGGGGGGGCTAAGCCCCCCGTGGCTACGGGCCTGCTGATTGGTGCGTGTATTTTAATGACATTTACCATTTCATGTGCACAACATTTACAACGGTTGAACCAAGCAGCGACACAGGGGATAGCAATATGCATTCACATTAAAGATGCATTATGTGAGATTTAAAGAGCTGACAGTTTTTCGCTATAATAGTTAACAAGCAGTTTAGTGGAATTAGGAAGTTGAGGCCCGATCTGCGCGAATATCGACAGGAACCGAGATCTTTTAGTTACAAACATACATGTTACTTTTCATCAAAATCGGATTAAAATTGAAGGGGCGGATCCGGGAATTTTGCAGGAGGGGGTTTGCCAGGTTCTTGAGAAAATGTATCCCCCCCACCCTCGGCTTGAAATTTTTTGAGAAATACATGGTCTCTATCGTCATTTTGGCGTATATACATACACATTGAGCTTTTTAAACAGAGAAATCCAACATCCTGTTTGACGTCAATTTTTATTATGAATTAATACGATGACATTGTGATTCAATTTTATTAATGCAAAGCTAGTTACGGCCCTGATTTCTCTATTAGGCCTAATGCATATAACATTCGAAAAATAAGTTAATTTTATAATATTATGACTTATTAAACAGACCCAGCCCATTCTAGTGAAACAACTTTCGTTTATCTGCAAATATTGTCAGTAAAGTTAATCGAGCGGCGTTTTATTATAATTGATATGGACATTTCTAATTACGGGGCGTATTTTGACACGCCATGACGTAAATATGTCTTCATAACATAAAATTTAAAATGCCCGGCAAGGCCAGTTAATATTGCACCGATTTGTAAGAGATGGTTTGTATCCATTTCGGGTAGGAATATATGCTTGATTATTAGTGTAGTTGGATGTGGCAACAATGTAATAAATAACAATAATCAATCGTAGTATTGAAGAAAAAAAGACAGTTTTGCATATTGATCTGCATTTTACTTTGCCAGGTAAAACTATATAGTACCATCTCTTATCTTGAGGGAGGATGTTTCTTATCTACAGCGATATCTACTTGGCTTTTAACCCCTCTCCCAATATGCCGATACACCTATTTTTTATAACACTAATTTAGTTTATTTATTATAAAGATCATTAAGATCATAAATAGACTATTTATCAGAAATTTGTTTAAGATCATTAATAGTCCAAATGTTTTTCAGAAAGTTGTTAAAGATCATTTAGTTCAACTATTTATCATTAAGTTCTGTAGAAGATCATTAACAGTCCAAATGTTTATCAGGAAGTTTATTAAGATCGTTATTGGCCCCCTTATCTATCACACATTTTTATTAAGATCATTATTGGTTGTTCTGTTTAAAAATATAGTTTTAAAACCGTCCATGGGCCCACCATTTATCATTATGTGTATCCACGAATATAAAGTTTATTAACCTTATCATTAATCTATTTATCATAAAGTTTATTAAGATCATCCATCACCCCTCTATTTATCATACCATTTATTAAGACCACTTATCATTAATCTATTTATCATATTGATTATTAACACCACCTATCATCCCCCTACTTATCATAAAGTTTATTACCGCCACCCATCATCAATCTATCATAAGCCCTAAAGTTTATTAACACCACCCATCACCCCTCTATTTATCATAAAGTTTATTAACACCATCCATCATCCCCCTATTTATCATTAAGTTTATTAAGATCTTCCATGGTTTGTGGTACTTCCTTGCCCATCGTTTCTGGTAAATATAAAATGGTAATTGACACAATTAAACACGATGACCCAAATATAGCTCCGGGTGCCCATGGCACACTTGCAGCCTGAAAAATAAGGACCTTAAAACTTTTAACAACATATCCATTTTTCAGAAAATATTAAATTTTCCACGACTGAATCTACACTACTATGTAATTAAGATTGATTATTTAACATTTAATTACGAAATCAAAATCAGAATACCAATGGGAGTTAATTTGTCGGCTTGGATTTAATCGGATTAAATTGGGGCCCGTCAAAAGAACCAAACTTGAAGATGGCGACGAATTATTTGAAAGGATTAAAGCAAATATGACACATTAACATTGTGCATTATATATATTTATATTTTCAGCCCCGTGCATGGTGTATTGAGTTCTTACATAGTTGTTCTAATTTTATTATCTTAAAACAGGAGGGCACTAGAGGCGTAAACGGATAACATAGCGTTACAACAATATTTTCGCCCTACTTATACTGTGCTGTTGTGTGTGTGTGAAAAGGGTGAGATGTTAATATTAACCACTATCGTCAAGGGTTCTATCGTGTACACCTTATTAACCTTTTCATAATAAAGTAACTCACCAAATAATTAGAAAAGGGTGCTAACATTCCACCGATTCTGGCAGCAGTAGAAGCCGTTCCAATTGTTATATTCCTAGAGAGAAAAATTATTAGTGGGCTTTAAAGCGGAAATTGCAAATTTTCAAGTTATATTTTTAAAATGTATTAAAATAAAGCCTTAAAATAGATGGTATCCATAAACAGTCCTACCTTGTTAAAGAATAATCCTATTAATCCTATAATTCGCTATTGCCAGCTGAGAAATTGGCAAAAATATCATTTTTAACTTCAAATTCCAACGTTGGAAAATGGCTGCCCCATGTTGTCAATAGCAAAACAGGGGAGGTAATTGTGTTGTTATTTCCTGTGTTTTAGATTTTTAAGGGTAGGAAATAATGCCCATGATCGTATAATAGTGATTTGATAACTATTGAGCAAAAGACATAGAAATAATTATGTTTTGACTTTCTTAGAAAATTTGAAATTCTCGCTTTAACAAAGAATGGCAAAATGTCACATGCACAAATGCCAATTGCTTGTTAATTATAGAGAGCATATTGGTAAATATGGAATTGAAGTATTACTGGTAAATATTTAATTTTATCGTACCTCACATTGGTGGGGAAGATTTCCGGTGTGTAGACGAATACAACATTAAAAGAACCGGTAATACCCAGTTTACCAATCAACGAAAATATGGTGGCCGATATTGAAACAGCTTCGTTATCGTCTAAAACAGGGGGAAAATAGTTAAAGAGGTTATTAATTTATAGTATATTAAAAATATCACTCTATTAATCACGTTATATCGTACTTAGAGGAATGGACATAACAAATCACCATGCATTTCTTAGCTATATAAAAAAGAGTGAAATTAAAGTAAGTTAATTTATTTCTTCATCGTCTAATTACAACTTTGAGTACAGTTATTGTAAATACGGGAAAAGTAACTGTTGAACTCTTAATACCAAACATCACACTCTTTATTAGCGTCCAAGAAACCGCAAGGTGAAGAGAAATATAGCCGTGCAGGAGTATTGCTCTAACACATCTTTCAGCGAATCACGGCATTTTAATAGACCATATGTATACGTCGACTTACCGTACATTCTAAGTATTGTAGCAACTATTAGACCAAATGCAGCAACCCCATGAAAGAATATTGCCATTTTTTTTCTCCCAAATCTGTAAAATAATATCAAATATTGACTTGGAGATACGACGGCCTAGTAGCTGGTTAACTACCACAATCTGCCTGGGTTCACAAATATAATACTTGAATGGCAATTAGCGATTGAGCACATTTAGGAGATAAACACGTTCCTGTTTCATATTTAGAGGGGGTTTACTGTCCATTTAACCATGCTTGATTCATTAGAACACGCGACGCGACAGCTTCAAGTTGTTCTAATGGATAATTCAAGCATGTTGGCGTTTATTTTTCAAAATATTCTCAATAGATTAAGACCGTCCTTGTTTTCCTGCGAATTTCAAATGCTTGAGTCTCGAGTTGCTAGTAAATGAATTATGAAAGAAAATGTTATTTGGATATTAACAAAAAATTTTTAACGTTTGAAATTTTTTTAAAAGAGCAGGTAATTATTCTTATTGCGGTATTTATAGGTGAGTGTCATCGGTAATTGAAATAATTCCGGCCCGCTATCCGGGACTAAAAGAGGGGTAACTCTTGGCAACAAAGATGACTTCTCTTCGGGATAGTCTATGTGACAGAACTGGGATTTTGGAACATCATTACCAATTTGATGAATAAATTCAACCACGATTTTCAGTTAGCCTGGTGGCTGAAGTGTTGAAATTTGGTTGATGGACTTCCGGGTTACTTTGCTAAATTGCATTTTGGCGACCATCTTTAAAACTGGCCGCCGTTATTTCATTGAAATTGAGCGCATCGGGGAAACCTTCATAACTCCTGAAAAGATGGACCTATGGATATGGAATGTGTCTCACAATGTTCACAAGAAACTGCTACTTCTGGTGCTATATGATACTTGTTGTTGAATGAATCATATATTTTCCAAATCAACAGATTATTCTGGAAAAAGCAACCTTTTGGCATTTTTTCCCCAGGTTTTCATGATTTATTTTATAAGTTTACTACTAAATCATGTTCAGAGTAATTTTAGCCAAATTATGTGTGTGGTCTTCTTAAGTTATTCAATTAGCATAAATAAATACGCCCAGTGGTCCTCCCTATACAGTCTTAAGTAGACTGTCAAATTAAAATGTTGAACGTAGGCGAGGCAGGGCTCAAACTTAGTGAACTTTTAGCTAGTGTGTCACAATCGAAACGATATTTGGGGATGGGTTGTTTCCGTGTCAAAGTTTGTCCCTAAAGACAATTTTGAGATTATGTCACTTCTGTCACGCCATTTTCGGTTTGGGTTCTGTCTGATTTCCAAAATGGCCGCCATAATTTAACGAAAAACGAATTTCTAGTTAGGATGGGTGAGTATCATGCAAAGTAAGACTTGTGATATATCATATATAGGGTTTTCGTAGCCACTGAATTTAAAATTGAATTATTTATTGGAATTTTCGATGAAACGGAAAGGTTTGTTCAGCACAGGTATTAGCTTATGAGGGACAAATACAATTTGTAGAACCAGATATTTGATGTTAGTGAACCCATTTTTTCCAGGACACCTGTTTCACACAAAATCTTATGATCTATCCAGACGAACCTTCAGTATAATAATCTATCTGCATACAAAGTTTATGAAAATACACATTCAAGCAGCATTTAATATGGTCTACCACCTGTAGGCACTCCCTTCAACTTAAAAATAAATTGTTTATTGGAATTTTCGATTAAACGTAAACTTTCTTGTACCTGTAAATACTCGACTAATATACCAGTTGTTAATTTGTAACATGTTTAACATCATATCTTTCCACGCGAATTAACAATAAATTGTTCAATCGATAAAACGGAAACATTTTGTATGTAATACGGAAATTTGCAACACGTTTATAAGCACCATATATTTCTACATGAACTAACAATAAATTGTTCATTGGATAAAAAGGAAACATTTTTTTTATATAACTGTAAAATAATATACGAATTATCGTTTTAACATCATATCTTTTGCCTCCCTTTTCAGGGATGGACACTCAAAAGGAGTATAGTAGTTTCGGGGGTCCCTAAACTAGTCAATGTTCTTGCGTAGTCATGAAATTTATGTCGTTTTTGATGAATTATTAAGATATATGCATAAGCTAAAATCACCAGGATATACTCTAGAAAGTACCATTTAAATTACAGTCAGTTTTTTCAAAAGAAATTTCGAGCCTGGTTGTAGAGAACCCTGTCGTTCATCTCACGGAGCAAAGGTAAGCCTGTCCTATCCTAGGTATATGTGTAATTTTATGTCAACTTCACAATTGTCAGTATAAATATAACATTTACTCGACAATTATCACAATTTTCATCTGGTCTTAAAACATTTTAATTGGATTTGTGTTCCTGTTGTTAAAAGCTTTCCAAATATGTATAGTTTGTTTAATAGGGAGGACCTTGTAGCGGAACTGTGTTTCTAAGCAAGCTAAAAATTTTGGCTGCAGGCCTACTAGACTATACGACAAAAGTTGCCGGGCATAGAGGCGTTAATGTAAAAACGGACCACATTACCATTTCTGAATGAATAAGAGATCTTAAATTCTTAACAACTGGATATATCATAAATAATTCTCAATACGGCTAAAAATGGTGCAAAGGCATAGTAGATGAAATTAAAATGCCTCACTATTTTGGTTAAATGTCTTGTGATCTGTGAGATCCAGAATAATCAATCCCATATGCCCCATTGTGTTGTTTATGGTGGGTGTGTGTGTGTGTGTGTGGGGGGGGGGGGGTCGCATAGGATGTGTCATTTTTAGCAGTATCTTTAACATCATTTTCAGATATTATAAGCTATATAAATCAGTCATTCATGTTATGGAAATTCTGGCCGCCGTTTTGAATTTTCCCCATCTTGAATTTTTAAAACCTTTTGTTTAGATTAAACAAACATTATGCAAGAGCTAAATCTGCCTATTGCAGTTCTTTCTTTAGGCCTGAAATGTTTTCTAAATTATTATTTAGACATTAATTAACTGATCCAGGCCATAATCAACTCTCGATGGCATCAGATTTCTCCGATATTAAATTGATTAGAACGGTTCAGCCATATTTTGATTTAATCTAATAATGGAGGAGCGAGACTTAGCTTCGAACAACCAGTTCAGCCATATTTTGATTTAAGCTAAAAATGGAGGAGCGAGACTTAGCTTCGAACAACCAGTACGGTGGTTGAAATTATTGCACGTGTCTTGTCAAACCTTCAAAGGCTAATATATTCGCTCGCAATAGAGTAATTTGAATGAAATTGTCAAATTATTCATTTTACATTATCTATTTACAAACTATTGTAGCAAGAATGGTTAGCTCTTTATCTAAATCTTACGTAATGTATCTTTAATTGTAAGCTCATTGGATAGTACATGTCATATCATACAATGAAATGACTATTATCTGACATATTGGCCATTTTAGGAAATTTTGTCGCCATTTTGAATTTTCGCCATCTTGGATTTGGGACGCTCATATTTGAGATTATTTTTTATGATCAATGTTTCTGATATCTATTCAATCACTTTAGTTGACCAAACAGATAATTTGGTTTATATGGGTCTGAACACGATTTGTTAGTAAACTTACGAACAGACATGAAAAAAAATCGAAAATGTTGCTTTTTTCAGATAAATCTTTTATTTTAAAACTGATAGTATTGATTAAACAACATGTATCATATACCAGTAGATGCAGAATTATATTATGAACATTTTGAGACATATTACATATCCATATAGGTGAAACTGTTGAGGAGTTATGAAGACTTCCTCGACTCGCACTATTTCAAATAAGAAAAAAAAAACGGCGGCCATTTTTAAAGATGGCCGCCAAACTGACATTTGGCAAAGTGACCCGGAAGTCCATCAACCAATTTTGGACACTTTAGACCTAAGGCTAACTGAAAATCATAGTTAAACCAATTCATCAAATTGGTAATGAATATCTGCCTGTCACATGGACTAGGAGTTTCATTGCGGTATTTAGAGACGAGTGTCATCGATAATTGGCCACAGATCACTAAAGAGCTCTTGGACCGACTCTAACTTTTTCCCAAATTTTCGTTGGGTAGAACATTTTCTGCCACCAATGGAGGAACATGTGGCAAACTCTTTCCCAAAAGCATGTATGAGGTTCACCATGAAAAACTTGAGATACACACGCTGGAAGTAGAGACAAGTAAACAGGCAATTTTCGGCCCTACATTGCAAACTAACCAACCTCTCAACCCTTGTATCCTTCCGCCTCAACATCATGAATATTCACCAAAACCTGACAGAAAATGTATTTTCAAACCCTTTTCTTCCATTCTACACCAAAAAGTCAACAAAAACCGCAACGCAAAGGAGGGGGGGGGAGAGAAAAGCTAAGGTGACGGCGAAGACATAGTTGGTGATCTATGTCCAAAAGGGGAGTAACTCTTGGCATCAAAGATGACTTCGCTTCGGGAGTTTCATGTAAGTTTTCAACTTTTATTATTTTATTTGCAGACTGTTATCAGAATGTTGTAGCTAGTTCTTGTTCACACAATTGCAGTTCGTACTTAATACTCAAAAATAACCCTATAACACTATGACAGTGATGCCTAACTTAAGATTGTAGTGGTTGCTATGTATACTGTTCTGACATGTCAACAAAATGTCAATTTTGGCATAACGATTAGGCCTATATTTCAGCTGCTATTTTCGACTCCCTCATTGTATTTTTAAACGATTTCTTGTGACTAATGACTTATTATTAGGCAGATCATGTTAGTCAGACTTTGATCAACGCGTGATTTAAAAAAAAATCTACTTGATAAAGTAAAAATTGGTGAGCGAAACTATCCTACCAAACAAAGAAAACAAATTTCTCCATACTGTCACTGCCTAGTTACGAATATAATTGGATACCCGAAAACGGTTTTAATTAATTTATGACTGATTTTCTACTGTTTTATGTTTTTCAGAAATATGTTTTCATAAAAGATGATGTTTTAAAATGGTGTGATAGTCATGTGTGCAGAATTTCTTGAAGATATTTGCCAATAAAGATTTGAGTTGGGGAAGATCATTGAGCACCAAAATGAAAAAAAAGTACACTGTAATATTTATACGCAATAATTCGCCTTAATAATTTAACTTGGGTTTATTGTCCATTCGACCACACTTTTCGACCAATCAGAATCGAGGAAATTTCTAATTTGTGCTACAATAAAAAAAACCCACAACACACATATTTATACTTGAAAAGGATAAGGGAATACATGTCGAAACGTCGTGCTATATGTGTATAAATCATTTTTTGTTTTCCATATAAATTGTCTTGTGTTTTCTGTTTAGGTTCACAAAGGTCTGAAAGAACATTCGCTATTTGTAAGAGCCTAACTAAGAATTATTCTGTATTATCCCCCCAATCGACGGCAAAGAACAGCCACTAGTCACACCATACCTGTCAATAGTAAACCAGTATATAAATGAAGACGGAACTTCAACCAGGGCATTTAGGAAGAAATTCAGATAGACGTTACCAGCTAGGCTTGAAGAGATGAGGAAAATACCATAATATGTCAGACTGTTTGTAAACCTGTAATGAAACATCGGCATGGACAATGTATAAAACTTATTACATTGATTAGCAGCCAATAACAAACGGAAACTACCGATAAGCAACTTATAACGGATGGAAACTATTGGCTAGCAACTTCGGACAAATGGAAACATTGACTAGCAACTTAGGCCAAATGGAAACAAAAACACCTATCTTGCCTAAATTTAAACAGTTAAGCTCAAACAGACACGGATATTAATTGCTGGTGTTATTTAGTGGCCCAAAAACCTATCCATTTGCAACTGATTTGAGTTTTAGAAACCTTGATACATTATAGTCGAGATCCGACACTGACAGTGGTCACAATTATCCAGGTCACACACTTTATAATTTGGTTTTAAAATTAGCAACTTGTTAATGAGGCCAATTATACCACAATCTTGTTTGTGGGTTTTATGCCATCTTGGAGACAGGTGGCTTAGTAAGAAACTTACTCGCTAACCTCGTGTTCGATCTTGGAGTTGGCTGCTATATTTCTTCTGATTTTTCCATCATGGTTTCTACACGTCAGTTGTCTATGAAGAATTTCCCAGCAAGCACTGGCAAGGGACCGCGCCTAGTCGTTTATAAGCATGCGGTTCATCCTGTCCTTAGGTTTTATGCCCGTCTTTATTGCAGTAGAACAGTCAGCTTGCCAACTCGGGGTTCTTCGCTCATTTCCGCGACCCCTCCTACATTACCTCAGTATTTTTTGCGGCAATTGCCCGCAGAAATATAGTACAATCATTTTGAGTATGGTAGAATGACGAAATGGCCATTTGAAATGTTCGTGTGAAAGGCATGCTCATGCATCATATTATGGCGATGCATGATTACCGCGGTTGGCTAGCCATTATCAAGGTCATTAGTAGCCTTGGCCAAAACGCCTTAATATCGCCGTGGATCATTATGATCGCCTTGACTATTATGATTTCTTGTTGTCAGTTAATTATGTAATATGAAATGTAACGTAAAAGAAGCTCCTGAAACACGAAATGACACTTATAGACTAACACCTACGAATACAAAAATGAAAATAAAATTACCAAGCGAACCATATTAAAATCAACGTTATTGCCGCACGTCTATTTTTAAATATATCTAATAGCGTGTATTTTTCTATATGAACGGCTTGGGTCTCCAATCCAGCATCTAACACTTCCATCTGTTTCTCCTCTTCTTCGCCAGTATCTAATGTTGCAGCTAGTAGTTTATCGGTTGGTTTATCAGTATCAACAGGTAACAACTCATTCTGGTAGATCAACTAAAAACAAGAGTTGTCAAACAATGAAACATTCGCCCACTAACAGCTTTGTCGGTACATGGTATGGGTAAAGAACATTCTCAGTCTCGGATACCCACGCTTAATCGAACGTGTATAACATGCACAGTTACCATAGCAATACCTTGAAATGTCCAGACTTTCAGATTACATTGTCCGATCTAAAAGTAGGAAGTATTCGTCGCCAAGGAAGTCATACTTTTTCTGCTCTGCTTCTGTAAAATGTCAACCATAGGGTCTCATCCGAGTATGAAAAGGTTCTGTTGACAATAAAACCCCCAAACAAATACCTTCAATATTTCGTTAATATTAACACCGTTCATTCTGGCGGCTTTCTTAACCACTGTAACTGTTTCTTCTAACCTGTTGTTAGCCACCAACCACCTTATGGATTCATCTGTCACCCTTAAATTGGGGAGATAATTCATCAATACCGCGTCATTATTATAGCCCCCCCCCCCTTCCTCTTTTCGAAGAAAGGAGGGCACTACTAAAACGAGTCCCTCCGTCCTTTTGTCTGTCTGTTCGGCACACCCTTTGGGACACAATAATTGTTCAAATTGAGATACAATGTTTAAACTTAGTGTATATGTTTATTAAGTGAATGGCTTGATGGAGATCGAAGATGAGCATTTTCTGATTAGACTAAGCAGAGATAGGCACACTATAACTTTGGTTCTAATTAAGTGAGAGTGATGAAACGTGGCCTATAGTTGAATTACACCAATACCCTGACTAAGTTCGATAATGAACATTTTCTGCGATAAGTAATTTGATTGGTCGAGACTTTGGAGTGGTGAAACTTCGTGTATAGTTTCGTTACACCAATACCTTGACTAACTTCAATGATGAGCATTTTCTGCTTAGGCAACGTGGAGTCTTTAAGCTGATTGGTTGAGACTTTGGAACAACTTATCTCTCCTTCTAATTGAGGTAGAATGTTCAAATGCAGTGTAGGTGTTTTTTAAGCGAATGCGCTGACAGGGTACAATCATGCACATTTTCCACTTTAAGAGATAGGCAATTTGATTGGTTAAGACACGATAACTTGGGTGAGAGTGATGAAACTCCGAGGATAGTTTCATTATATCAATACCTTGACTACGTTCGATGATGAGAATTTTCTGCTTAGGCTAAGTAGCGATAAGCAATTTGGTTGGAATATAACTCTGCCTTTTCATTCAGTCAGTTTAAACTTTGTGTAGATGTTTTTTAGGTAAACGAGTTCAATGATCAGCATTTTCGCTAAAGCTCAGAAGGAATTTCATTGGTCGGTGCTTTTTGACAAGATAACTTCACTCTGAGCCTATTAAACGGCGAATTAATTACAGTCTAACCTCGATTGTCGTTGCTATCGTTGTTACGATAATAAACAAAGTCTCGTTTATCCATTTTACAGTAACCGCATCAACGGCAAAACGTATTTAAATCTACTTAATATCGAAGCCATCCAATAGCATCAAGAGTTGATTATGGTCTTGGTATCTTAATGAATGTCTAATTAATAATTTATATAACATATAAGGCTTAAAGAAATACCTGCAATAGGCAGATTTAGCTCGTGCATAATGCCCGTTTAAGTAGTTAATTTATGCGGGGCGAAAACACTTTTAGTATGGCGCAGATAGTTGTCTTAGTCGATGAAGATATTCCATCAATAGTGAATAAAACGGAAGCAACTCACCAGTACTGTATAAGAGAATATAAAGAAACGCTGGCTAAAGTTCGGTAGACGATTCTCCAGCTGTACATACGAGTTAAAAAAGCAATAGGTGCTATTAACATACAAGCAAAACCCCACATTAACGAACCATAGAATCCACAATATTTTCTCTTTTCTTTAGGAAATAACTCAATGGCATAGGTAAATGCACATAAAAAAGATCCCTGCAAATGACAAAGTGGTATCAGGCATCCTAGAATTGTAATCATACCCTGCTTTGTGCCCAACGTCCGTCAGTATTTATAGATAGCTTTAGGGCCAAAGGTCGCAACCCGGTTTAAGGATCCAGTGGTTAAAATACAAAAACAGTTGGATGTAATACGAAATAATCGATAACAATTATACCAATTACAATTTCACGAACTAATTACAATTATATGTGATACTGGTTACTCTGTCGTATCCTTGTCTACGAAGTGTTTAAACATGCTACAAGTAAAACTGGTAGTTTACACGCGAAACTGTGAATCACTGACTGTTAAAAACGGATATCTTGAGGCAATGTATATCTAAACTAAAGACCAGTTGGGGTGGGGTGGTAATCAGCTTACTATTTACACCATATGGTTTATCAGTGAGTCAAGTGGCGTTGTTTCCACACCAAGCTTGACGTCACATGGAATAGGGTCTTCCAACTGATAAAGTCTACTGAAATAAATATGTATTCTCTGTTAGTCCTGATATATCCTTGGCTTGTGTTGCGTCTCTATCAGTGTAAATCCCAGGTAGCGGGGAAGACGCTGATTTGGTGTGGATTGTCTAAACGCTGAAGTTGGGATCGCCGACCCTTGTAAACATATGCATGCCCACAACTTATATCCTTATCAATAGGATCAGACTTTTAAAATCCAACATAATTATAACCTACCTGTTGAACTATTCCACTGAGAAATCTCATCACCATAAACACAGTATAGTTGGGAGCAAAGGAAGCACAAATACCTATAGCAAGACATGCCAGATGGCTTAAAACAGATACAGGTTTCCTACCATATTTATCAGATGCTAGTGTCAGGGTTGACGCTCCGATTGCCATTCCAACATTTAGCATTGTCTGCGATAAATCGGCGAGAGCTGCTTGATCACACACGAGATCAAACTGAAAAAGAGGATTATCTGCTTTTCGTGTATACAGTTCATACAATGACCTATGGGAAATGCTTCCCCAATCCATCAATTATAAAACGTACGAAAATCTCTGTATAACCTTGGATACTGCATACACCTGCTGTTTTGTTAAGACCAATAATAGTTGAAGTCGAATGGGAACCGACTTTATCACCCAATAACACATTCTACAGTAGATATCGCTTGTGTGATAAATTTCATAAACTACTGGTCAATTAAAAAGGGACTACTTTTTTTTATTAAAAAGGAACTACTATTTTTTATCAAAAAGGAACTACCTTTTTTTTTTATCAAAAACGAACTACTTTTTGGATCCAGTGTTCGCTTTATAGCGACTTTGACTTTAAAGGAAACACCGAGTCACTATATAGGACTTTGCAAAGGGTGACTTGCTGGCAAAATATGATGTATCACTACGCCGTAATGTAATCAGGTTCACTAAAACTAAATCTATAACAAAAATAATATTTATTTATTTGTACGTGTAATAAAGGGATGAGTGATAAATAAAATCTCATACTCGTCATTTTTAGAGCAACAATTTTTAACACTCGTCAGTAAAGAGAAGAAAAACAAACTCGTTTTTTTTTTTAACTTTATCGATTTGTGTTGATATTTTTTGATATCAAAAAGACCTGTAGGAGATTCTCTATTTGTCCGTAGCGACCATGGCTTTGGTCGATATGAGCTATCAACCTGGCGACCAGTCGATCACTTATTAATCGCATACCCTACACTTGAATCATAAAATGGTAAGGTATGCAGGCACTGATTAGCTAGAACATTTTGTATGGATCGGTTTTCATCCTATTCACATCCCAAGGCCTGTTTGTTTGCAATAAAATTTGTACGTACTTCAACCCCACTGTTCAATCTGATAAATATTCACTACCGAAAGTTTTATATTTTTAAAGATTTTTAAATATAAAAATAAATTCATTCTTACGTCAGAGACAATGGAAAAATCCGTGGGATATTCATACTGGTAGCCATAGATACAGGAACTAACGGTAGTTTGATTCTGACTCAAAATAGAACATTTGCCAAATACGTCATCACTTCGGTTGACGGGTAGATCAGGTGGCGGCGCACATTTATGTGGATTGGCTTGACCTGTTGATAGCGTAATCATATTTAATAAACGAGACAGAATACACTTACACTTTCCCGATAACTTGAGAATAACTGAATCTCCAACACAACGCAAGAACTGGTCAAGGATATGAGCGTACGACGTATAGGAACGTAATTTCAGTTGATTTCGAGACTATATAAAGACGTAATCCGTCGTTAATTTCCATTTTTAATCCTGCTTCTCTACATTTCCACAGCTTCTTAAATGCCCCCAGAAAAATTGGGAAAGCAGCCTTTTCAAAACAGAAATTCGAGAGTATTTAGAGTATATTATAGTATGGTAAAGTTTAAATGGATGTTCACATGCAAAAACATTTTGACTACTAGCCATATCTGAGAAGCTATAAACCATACGCATTATGCAACACGTGTATATTCAGTTATGTCTGAGGAACCATAAACCGCACACATCATGTGATAGTTATTCAGTCTGTTAATTACTGATTGACCAGTGTCCAGAGCTTGATGATGGCCATTGTCCTTTTATACCACAAGTAACCCAAAACAGAACCAATATGACTTCACAAATGACTAAATGTTAAATCCCGTAATGTCCATAGAGATAACATAATTCTAATTGACTCGGTGCTGAATTGCCCGTTAACGTAAAGCCACGTTAAAGCTTAGTATTTTTGATTTAAATGGAATTAATTTATTTCAAACATTTACGTACATTTCTAATTACATGAATGAGCTGTAACAGCTTTGATATTTTAGGACACTAATTATTATCAACTTACCTATGAAGATTATATTTAATGAAAAAAAAGCCTCGGTAACAGTATTTAAGGTGGTCAGGAAGTACATCAATATTTGATATTTGCCGCGACTTCCCAGGGCATCCAGTATCTCATCCACGTCGACATGGCGCATATCCTTCATGACGTCAGATAACACAGCTTCGCCTTTTGTCGGATAATTTGTTTTGTGGGAATATGCTTCCGCTGACTCCCCTTTAAATACCTAAAAAAGGATGTGTATGTACTAAAGTTAAAACTGAAATGTACTACCACGAATGATGAAAAAACAATTCAATGCCCAGAAAGAGTAACAAACATATTCTTCCTCACACTTTGCTCTGACTGATCATAATTTTTCTGAACATGCCTGTGACCTTTGCGCTTGAAACCCCTCCTTATCTACAAAATAAATATTTAGCCTATTATATTTCTGGTTTAATGGTTCGAGATCGAGACAATACGTACGACCGAGTGTTGCTTCGATATATAACGCATATGTCTTACTTGAGACCATTAAACAACTTAAAGTACAGACACTATCCCGGACATGTACTTCAATGAAATCGTCACGCGAGTCCAATATTTAATCTAGTATACACGTAAATAATGTACGATTGGTAAGTTGTCAGTACTAGAAATAATAATACCCCAACATCTGTATTTTAAACGCACATATAACACAGGGTTTCATAATACTCATTTTAAGATACAGATAGCAAGAACTATAATAGTAAAATCTACGAGGGAATACCGAGAAGAGCTGAGGAAGAGTAGGGTATGAGGACAAGTTGAAAAGGTCTAGACCTAAAAAGGAAAGATCAGTTAGGTAAAAACAAACTTTTGCCACCAACAATGAATGAATGAATGATAGACATAAGTTGTAGTATTATTATTGTCTTCGTACCAGAACATTTTGTAAACCTACCCATTGAAATCACCAGAAATAGACAACACTGGCTATAGGACAGCCATAATATAGGACAGTACCTGCAACTGAAAGGACTAACCTCAACACAGATACATGTCGACATGGTTTCCACTTTAGGGGATGATGCCCCTTTCTTTTCCACAGTAAAAGAAGTCGTCTGTCTCACGAGAGGTTTGATCACATTATTGTCAACGAGTTAGGAGTGACAATCTGCCCCGTTTTGAAGCAGATCCTGGATCCTGATAATTGTTTGGCCAGATTTGTAACCATGCATGAAACTGGTTTCCAAAAATGGAAAAGGGACTAATCGGTCGTCATTTTCCTAAAAATGGTGACGTCATGTTAGCTGTGAACGGCTCTTTTAAAATGGCTGGATAAAATTTCTTCCTTACCAGCATCCATCGTTGGCAAAACTGTGTACACCTCAAAGGACTATGTAGAAAAGTAAATGGAAACCAGTCGACTTAGTACAGGTCTATCACACATAGGCGTAGTACTTTTTTAGCCAGCCCCCCACCCCAAAAAAACATTAGTTTGGGGGAACTTTTTAGTCCTAAATTTGCCTCTTTTGATGAACTGTTAAACAAACCAGTCTCTGGATACAGGATGTACTCCAGAAGGACCATTTACAGTAAGTTTTCCCAAAAAGTTATAAAGTGAGGCCCCTCATTGAGCCGAGGCCATGGGAGTCTGTCCCCCATTCCATCCCCGATGGAATATATTACACCATGTGCCTATAGTAAATGTTTAAGATGGCGATTGCTTCACAGCTTGAGGTAAAGATTTTCACAGCACACATACAGGTTGCCATGATCTATAGTTTAAATTTTACTTAACAGAATTAAATGTTTTAAGGTTTGCTCTTTTACAGAAATAATGTACCCTATAATCAGGACTTTGGTCTTTTGATACTTTATATGGGATCACCTCAACGACCCAAAGGTCTTACGTCGTCAGGGAACCTGCCCGTCGTCCGTTCGTTGATGTTAACCAAATATTCAGATAGTGAAAGGACGTATATGTGCTTATCTAGGTTAAGAAATGACCAATTAAATATCAATTTGATTATAAATAAACATACACACGTTGTTGATTTAAATTTGTTTAACGAGGATGTTATTAACCTTGCCGGAAATTTGGAACGTTTATGCACGTTTCATTGCATTTTTAAATATACACTCTACATCAGCGTACATTGTTGTGTGAATACTTTAGGACACCTTTTTGTGTGAATGCCACTACTTTCTAATTAAATTTCTTGCAAAGTTTCTCATAATTGTTTTTGATTGGTTCGCTATAGAAACAAAATACGTGGCGTATGAAATCATCAAGGGCAGATAATATGAATTCGTTGAAACAACCATGAATTAACCCAAGTGTTAGTGGAGTAGAAGGGAATGATACTGCATAGGATACCGAGGATGACCGTCACATAGTTCCTATGTATTTTCATCTTCATCTAGTCGGGGGGTCGTGGGATTGGGAGAGTCCCCATAAGTGGAATAGCCTAGGACCTCCCTTCCTCTAAACCTGGCACAGCATGATCATGGTATTTAACTGTTGTTATAATTGGTTGAATAAATAATTTTTCGGCGTTCTGTGGAAACTTTCGAGTGAAGAACACTCTATTAAGATATATGCTTGTATATGAGATCAACTAGAATAAGCCGCTGTTGAAAGATATAGACTAGTCAAATTTTCGCTTTCTCTGAATGATTTTGGTGTGTTCAATACGAATATCGATGTTATCAAAGCCTGATTGTCAGTTATTGACTTTCTAATTTGCATAAAAACAAAATGGCTAGTCATTGCAGTTAAATTGCCATATATATAATAAACTATTGACGTAAGGTCCCATGAATCCAAAACTGACATTTTTATACCCATGTAATTATGGCGTCCTATCCAGGTTAAATTGCAGTTTAACGATGAGGATTATTGACAATTTTTGTCCTTGGGGAATCCTTCTGTGGATTGGTTTATCTATTGTGTTCACTGACACTATCAGCGCACACAACACATTCTTGGATTAGAACAAGAGGTTCTGGGTATTGTAGATGGATTTGAAGTGTGGTCACCTGGAACAGCCAACATTGTATGTTGCTTTGAATAAATATGTATGAAGGGGCGGGCTTTGGATCCTTTTCATGTCACAATTCTATGGAATACAATTACTACTTATTTGATGATATATTTGGACTAATAACATATTCAAACCAATTAATCTATTTTCAAATCCCTCTCACAACTTTGTATTTGCGGGGAGATACCTCAAACTATAAATAAACTGTCACCTAACTTCATTGAGGGCGGGTCCATTTTTCAGAATGTATTTGTCATTACTTATTGTTCATTTACCATACATATTGAGGCTTAAGTAAATTCTTGAATTAGCTTCTGCCAACTTGCTTTTCTGCCTCTTTATTGCAGATTCTGTTATACGTTTACGCCTCTCAATTTTCCTCAAACCGCCTGACCATTCGATCACGAAATAACAACCGATCCCTAAGTCAAGCTGGCAGATAATACAACGGGTTTCCAGTTAGTAATACCCTGACATTTTTGCCCAGTGCTTGCCCCATAGCATAGTGGTAAATAAAAAATAACTCCTTTATTCATTTGTAACAATTACTTATATTAGAAAATAACAATCAGATACATAAAAACAACCCCTTTATTCATGCTTAAGATTTTTTTATTCACCCGTATTATTTATTTCAAATTTAATGTTCTAGAGTCTCCTTTTTCCGAAAAGACTGTGAACAAGATAGAGGCTAAAGTCCTTAACGGGTTTTTGTTCAAATTTGATGTGAAAATAAAATGAATTGGGGTTTATGTCCTATATATCTGCAATGGTTGGGCTAATGAAGACGGGTGTTTGCCATACATGGTGCCATGAGAAACATTTTGCCCAGAAAACAGCGTATTTTCCTACTCTTATTTAGAATTCCAACTGTTTATTAAAATCACCCATAGTCACCACTGTCTTTAATTAGTCATAAAGTTCATTAACGTCATCCATGGTTAGAGGTAATTCCTTGCCCATCGTTTCTGGTAAATATAAAATGGTAATTGTCACGATTAAACAGCATGTTCCAAATATAGCCCCGGGTGCCCATGGTACACTTTCAGCCTGAAAAATAAAAACAAAATGTACCGTGATTTGACAATATGTTTTTAAATGATTACCAAAACATATCTATTGATCTATTGAATGTATAATAAATGTTTTGAGAAACAATATGAGTTGTCAACTCTGTATACTATAATGGTTTATTTTTAGTTCATGCAAGAGCCTGGGCTATTCTTAGCGCCATCCTTGACGGCTACACTAGGGCTGTCCTGGGGATAGAATTTGGTGTATAGGCTAAAGGGCGTTGGGCTACCGCGCCCGGTTTTGCAGTTATACTACTATCAAATGACATTAAAATTAGTCTTAATGAATTTGTAAACGATAATGTGAATCATAAAATTGATTTGTCATGGACATGTATTACACATTAATTGTATCCAGGTAATAACAGTTAAAAACAAATCATCTTACCAAAAGATTAGAAAATGGTGCTAACATTCCACCGATCCTGGCAACAGTAGAGGCTGTTCCAAATGATATATTTCTGGAGAGAAAAACAGGCAGTAGTTAATAGTGGCCTTTCTTGCAAGTTTTGAAAGCAAGTTGGGATATCTTGGCAATGGTTATTAAGAAGACTTACCTCCGCCTTATGAATACATATTCCTGAAGCAATGGCCAAAGAAATCCCTCTCTAGTCATTGCTGTATTGAGACTGAAAACTTGAGTTTTTGAGGAAGCGTGTCCATTCTCATCGTCCAATCAAATGGTCCTGACTACAGTAAAATAAAGGCAGATTTCATGAAATAACGGGGTGACCTCTAAAATCCCAGTGTTTGTTAGTGCTGATTTCAATGAAAAAATTTCCTTGGCTACCCTTGGATTCATCGGGAGCAAACATCGATACTCGCATAGGTAAATTTGGCCGTCGCTGAAACTCGCTATTCAAACGAAAATTCTTTGACTCAAATCTCCGATACAAATTTTATAAACGTTTCTATTTGTACCAATTATTACTGCCTACCTTTAAGTATTCGATAATATTTATCCATTTTTGTGAAGAAAATCCACGAATTATTTATGTTATCAAAAAACACATTATGTCGTATTTCTATCCAGTTTGTTGAAACACAATACGTAATACACCTAGGGCAGACGAGCGTATTTGTTCGCCCGATTACGCCGATTTTTAAAATCGCTCGAAAAAATCGCCCGTGTGCTCGTTCACGGCGACGACGATTCTGCTCGCCGAACCATTCGCCCGTATCTAGCATGTTAGATATTTTCGGTCGAATATTTACGCCGGCGATCGATTCGTCGGCATAACCCCTCGTCCGCCCGTGTCCAGCTTATATTGTCAAGCGAACCATTTTCATAAGCCAATCGGAGACATCATTGATATCACATGATCTGAAATGGCTTCCTTCACTGCCCAAGCGTGGAGTCTGACGAAAGAAGGATTGGTGATTCTTTGGTAGAAAGGCCTTGCCTGTTAGACATCACGATTCCAGAGTTTTAGAAGCAAATAAAAAACCGCTATCACAGCAAGTTTACATTTCAGGCGATTCGTCATTTTGTACAAGTCACGTGATCGACCTAATTTACTCGCAGAGTGGTGTACGCTTTGAGAAGATCGCTATGTGTGCCCGCTCGTGATCGATCGTAGAAAATCACTTAGCTTAACATGACAGTCCTTCTCTTTGATCAGTTGTGTAGTCCAAGAGATGATAAAGAGATACCACCTGCGCGGCGATTACTCAATGTTTACATTGTAGCTATTTTGGATAGCCTCGTTTATCACACAATTCGTTTCTCTGCAATATTCTATTAAGCACTAGTTAATTGACCGTAATACATTTCGTGCGTAATGTAGCAGCGTTATCACCAGACACTTTACGGTAACATATTTTGAGCTCTGGTTAACCCCGATTGACTTTTTTACGTAGTAATCTACTGGTTGTTGATCGGACTGTTAACCAGTCATAATTTGGGACAGAATTTTGCGCTGAGTATGGCAGTGTTTGAGTGGAAGTATATCAATCACCTGATGTGGCAAATGTTTTTTTTAATTTGATGCAAAGGTTGGGCCATGTAGCGGATTTGTCATGAGGTAATGTTATTTTATGGCAGAGAGACCATGTAATCGGCCCCTCATCGCCACTCTCATCCTCGTACGGTCAACAATTTTGTTTGGATCCAACTATCATTTCTGATTTCTTGCTATTGCTTGCATTATTTTCCTCACCTGACATTCGTGGGGAAGACTTCTGGTGTGTAGACAAATATAACATTAAAAGACCCGGAAATACCCAATTTACCAATCAACGAAAATATGGTGGCCGATATTGAAATAGCCTCGTTATTATCTAAAACAGAGACAGAAGATCTCAAAACGATAATACATTTAAAGAAGTATTATCACTTACAATAATTTTAGACATAATAATTATATTACATTTAAAATAACCATAGACTATTTAAATACCAAGATTACACTCTTGTGTCTAAGACTATAATGTGTATAACCCATAATGTATAACATTTATATTTCTGAGGCGGAATTGTATCAAATCCTCGATTTATCAATTAAGTCAGGATAATTCATATAGAAAAATGACCACCTACCAAACACTGGTGTCTCTTGAAATTCCGGTAAATTTTTCTGGTGGGGTCGCCATCTTGGATTTTTTATTAATGAAAACTTGGAAGATATGTTTATATGTCGCGGGTGGCTAATTCAACTGTGACGGTAGTACAGTTATTAGAAATATAACCAGGAAAAATAACTTCCATCCTCGAAAATCAAGCGTTACACCCTCAAATAACAGAAGGGTTCAATAAAAAGTCATAAGGAACAATAACGCTTGTATCACTGTCGACAAATCATTTACATTTTAATAGACCACGTGTGTATATCATCTTCCTGTATGCATCTACTTACCACCGTACATTCTAAGTATTGTAGCACCTATTAGACCAAATGCAGCGACTCCATGAAAGGAAATTGCCGTCTTTTTTCTCCCAAATCTGTAAAATATTATTTATATAGTTGGAGGCGTGGTTGCAGGCTGGCTTGTAAAGAGCCAGGATGTTCATGGTTCAAGTAGGTCCAAAAAACGTTCGGGATTTTTCTTTCAGTTCGGTACCCAATTGTTAGAGCCTACTAGAGAATGTTTCCCCAATCATTCGTTTGCTGCAAAAAAAACTGAATTTAAAGTCATTAGGTGACTCGTGTTTGATGTAATTTATTTATGAATAATTCCACCAATGGTATGATTCAGCATATTTACTTAAGTCTTTAGATAAAATACAAAAATCGATCAAATTATTACAGAAGCCATCCCATACCTGTCAATAGTGAACCAGTATATAAATGCAGTGGGAAGTTCTACCAGGGCATTTAGGAAGAAATTCAGATATATATTACCAGCCAGGCTTGAAGATGTGAGGAAAATACCATAATATGTCAGACTGTTTGTAAACCTGTAATGAAATATCAGCATTCACAAATGTATAACACTCATTATATCCACGAATCAAGAAGGCATATCAACTTGCAACCAGTATAACTGAGGAAAATAAATGGTATGGCCTTGGGTTCCCTCAAGAGTCACTATAACCAAGTATTATGTCGGTTTAAAAGTTTCTAACCATAAGCTGGGAACTGTTGGTTAGCTGCATCTGACAGATGAACACTATTGGTTAGCAGCTTATGAGAAATAGAAACCAGTGTTTAGCAACTTATAACAAATAGAAACTGTTGGTTAGCAATTTGTTACAACTGGAAATAATTGGTTTCAGTTTCACATAGAACTGACAAAGCCACTAGAATTTGAGAAAACATTCAACAGGGTTAAAATCTTATCTTTCCCAAGTCAAAACCTTAAAATAAACCTAGTCCAAATCAACCACCACTTTAATTAGGGAAAATAAGCATAATAGCTGCTGAATACATGTTGTGTTCTATCACTTTACAATTGTTAAAAAGACTTGACTAGAGGCCATAAAACTATAGGCAAGATCTGAACAGTGGTCTGGATTTCGACATTTACTTTTTGTGAAAGATACATCTATTTGAAAAACTATACACCGATATCGTGGTCATTAGCTTTATTTGTTTTCCTCTTGTTCGTGCGCCAATACCATCTTGCCAACTTGACATTCCTAGTGTTTATGGAGAATTATACGCGGCAATTACCTACATATACTATTCCAAAAAAGTAGGGGATATTTGATTTTGGGGGCATAATACTAAAATATGCAAATGACTACGAAAAAAGTCACTATAGAACCTAACAGAAGAAACATTTCCAGTTACATGTGACGCCCAAACGCACCAATAGCTACCGCATGGAATGCAGGTGATGCTTGGGATCATCATGGGGGTCCAACCCAAGATTTGCACGACTCTGACTTTGAATGTTACAGTCATTGTGGCATTGAATTCCAGGGTGGAAACATCAGTTTAATTGTTTTAGTGACCAGAAAACAAATTTTGATATGCGTCGGCTTACCCAAAATGAAAGGTTACGTGCCCTTGGCATGCTACAGATCGGCACAACACAGGCGGTTGTGGCGCGGACGATGAATGTTTCTCAGTCTGTCATAAGCAGGCTATGGTCCAGATACCGTGATACACAATCTGTACAGGACAGACCACGCTCAGGTCGACCAAGGGCGACAACTCAAGCCCAGGATCGATTTATCCGTACCTTGGCCTTGAGAAATCGTGTCATCACAGCAAATCAGATCAGCGCTCGTCTTCAAACAGACACTGGTGTGAGAGTGAGTGGCCAGACGATTCGGAATCGACTGCATAGGGGTCCCTTGTTTGAGAGATCATCACATTCAGGCAAGACGTCGTTGGTGTAGGGATCGTCAACACTGGGATAATCGACGCTGGAGCAATGTGATGTTTTCAGATGAGTCAAGGTTCACTGTTGATTTTTTGGACAGACGTAGGAGGGTGTGGCGTCGTCGAAACGAGCGCTTCCAAGACGTTAACGTCATCAGACATGATCGATTTGGGGGTGGTTCTGTTATGGTGTGGGGAGGCATCACTGTTGCTGGAAGAACGGCTTTACATGTTGTTGCAGGGCGTGTTACAGGCCAGTACTACCGGGACAACATCTTGGCAGTCCATGTTGTGCCGTTCGCACGAAGTCATGGCCGCCGTTTCATCTTCCATGATGACAACGCAAGATGTCACAGGGCCAGGATCGTTACAGGTTACCTCCAACAACAGAACATCACCACATTACCTTGGCCAGCACTGAGTCCCGACCTCTCCCCCATCGAGCATGTCTGGGACATGCTTGGACAGAGGTTACGTCAACGTCAACAACGTCCTGCCAATGTCCAAGAACTTGCTGCTGCGTTGCAACAGGAATGGGACAATCTGGACCAAAATGACCTTAGACGTCTCATTAGGAGTATGCCACGTCGGATCAATGCTTGTTTGGCAAACAGAGGAGGATTTACCCGTTACTGACTTGTGATGCTGTGGTAACTTTGCTGTTTGACCCCGGGTATCATTTTACCCTTATAATGGTCAGTCTGTGCCTTACTTAGTCTAACGATCATTTGGAATAAATCGAAGAATGTGAACTTCATTTTATTTTGTCATTTGTTTCTTCGTCAGTTTCATTAGGTGACTTTAATAACACTTAAAAATCAAATATCCCCTACTTTTTTTGAATAGTATATATAGATAAAATGCAACTATTTACATTTTTTTAGTATGGCGGCATGATGAAGATGTATAGTTCTAAGATGACGATGCTGGCTGGCAGTATTGCCATTAGTAAGGCTATTACACGCCTTAATATCGCTGGTTTTTGCTATGATTGTGACTTTTTGTTGACACAGTCAGTAAATAATGTTATACCATGTCTTATAATAATCAACTAAGCTCCCCTTTTATATTTTATATTTGAATAACACATAATACTAAGAATACATAAATTATCAGTTGAAAATAAACTTACCACGCGAACCATATTATAATCAAGGTTATTGTCAGACGTTTATTTTTAAATATATCTAATAGTGTGTATTTTTCTACATGAACGGCTTGGGTCCCCAATGCAGCGTCTAACGTTTTCTCCTGTCCCTTCCCGTCTTCACCAGAATCTAATGTTTTAGCCAGTAGTTTATCGGTTGGTTTATCAGAATCAACAGGTAACAACTCGTTCTGGTAGATTAACTAAAAACAAGAGTTGCCAGGCAGTGAAACATACGCCCAATAGCCGCTTTGTCTGTACATGGAATACAGGTTAGAGTATTCTATCGTTTTTAAACTACATTCTCAGCACCAACCATCTCATGGTCAGTTAACATACTAATATAGAACATGTCCGGTATTTTTACTTTCAAATTACACGAGACGATCAAGACAAATAATTAATGCAACAATCCAGTCAGAAAGTTGCCAGTCTTTGCTGTTGATTGGATCTAAGCGGGAGTGAACATCCTTAATTAATTTTACAATACTGATGCCGACGTTTGTTTTTTTTTATAAACAATATTTTTGTTCTGGTTGTCTGAATAGGATTGGGGAACAGGCTTAGCCTATGTAAAACCAATCTCTCTATGCCGATGGTTGCTAATGTACTTTAGGACTGAGAAAGGCGGCTGTGGTGTATTGCGTCTTAAAAACGTGTGGAAAGGGCCCATAACTCTAAGACTATGTTTGATGCGGAAGAAAATACATTAACAAAATTTGGGCCGACAGTGATGATGATACATTATCCAACTACGGGCTTAGGCGGCAGAAACCAAATTGACCCCTTTCCCTAATAAAGAATTTCACAAACTCCGATTAGAGCAAAGTGCACGTTCAAATTCTATCAGAACATTCGGTCAGAACAGCAACTTTTCGTCACTTAGAATAGCCTCATAGAATCCGCACGCTAAGTTATTGTAAATTTTAAAGAGTATAATTCATAAATTTATTTCTACGTAAATCTACCTTCAGTGGTTCTTTAACATTAACACCGTTAATTCTCGCGGCTCTCTTAACCACCTTGACCGTTTCTTCCAATCTGTTGTTGGCCACCAGCCATCTTATAGATTCGTCTGTTATCCTTGAAAATTGGGGAGATTATTTCTAAATACACCATCATTATTATTGTATTAGTAGTCATTGATATTGACACCGGAGACAACTAATTGAAGTCAGTGGTTTGAAATGTGAGTCGGAGTGATCAGACATTATAGCAGATATGAATGGGGGAATAATCTCCTATTATTACCGGAAGTAGAAAGAAATCAAGACAGTCCACGCCCTTCAATATTTGTATCGGATTTTTGTGGCATGTCGGGACTTTGTGGTTATAAAGATTAGGATCGCCATCAAAAATATGCTATAGGCCAATAAATGTCACATGAAATAACATTGAAATCGACGGGGTGAGGATTTGTAGTCTTAATCCATAAAGAGGGAGACAATTCACCAATAGTGTATATATAAAAAAACAAAAAACTTACCAATATTGTATTAGAGAATATAGAGAAAAGCTGACTAAAACTAGGGAGACGGTTCTCCAGGTGTACATACGAGTAAAATAAGCAATAGGTGCTATGCACATAACATATATACTCCAAGTCACCTGACCATAGAATCCAATATATCGTCGCTTCTCTTTAGGAAATAATTCAATGGCGTAGGTTACTGCAGTTAATACACTTCCCTGTAAATAATAAACCATAAAAATGGAAAGTGATATAAAGCACACACCACTCATCAGTATTCATAGCGACGATTTGGTCTGAATATGGTAGAAGATAAACCCAGGGCCAAAGGTCACAACCAGATTGACCATTCCAGTGGTTTAAATCCAATGATACGCCAGCCAACAGTACTTTGTGAATGCTGGTTACCAAAATTATAGAGTAACACTTTTACAAACTGATTACAATTATTGAATAAGCATAATAATTTACCTGTTGGAATATTCCATCCAAAAATCTCATCGCCATGAACACAGCATAGTTTGGAGCAAACGAAGCACCAATACCTGTAGCAAGACATCCCAGATGACTCAATACACATACAGGTTTCCTACCATATTTATCAGATGCTAACGTCAGGGTTGACGCTCCAACTGCCATACCAAGATTTAGCAGAGTCTGAGATAAATCTCTGAGAGCTGCTTGACCACATACTAAATCAAACTGGAAAAAAGGGAATTATCAGCTATTATAGAATTATCCACATAAATGGTTCTATAATAAAGAATTTTGGGGAGTGGGGAAAAGCTGCCTGGAAAGCGTAACAAACTCTTCATTAATAATTCTTCATAACATTTGTAATTACCGGGACATTGCAATGGTATAAGGTATTTGTTTGCCTGCCTACCTGCAACTACATGTCTGTGGGTTTAGTCGTTGGAGTAGGACGAAACTCGAGGTTCCGTGTACAGATTGGCACTCAAAATTCGTTGTGTGTTGTAATTCGAGAAAATTCTTCCTATCGCATTGTACACGTACTCAAAAAAATTAAAATTTCGGTATTTTAGTCTGCAGTCGTTAGATATGCTTTAAAATGTCGCCTAAACACCAAAATAGATGTCCTTGCTAGATACAAGTAATACACATTTTCAGGATCAAGGTTAACAGATTCGTGTTGATCTCCGACACAGAAGTTAACGATGTAGGTCATTTATCAAGCCCTCGTCTTCAGTGACCCAGTCGGATCGGAACAGTATGGTCTTTTACACTGATGCAATCATTATTGTCTTATGACAACCATTAGTTGCAGTTAAAAAAAGGGACAATTTGGACTGCATCGAGCAAGATAAGGTATCAATATGGCATCCAATCGAAGATTAGATAGTTTTATATGATTGCATAGAATACCTGGATTAACTTTGCATGCACCCCGCCCATTTACACTCTTATAAAATGTCACTTGGGAATGTTTTTTTATATATATATAATCCATTTCAAATATAATAATAAATTCATTCTTACGTCAGAGACAAAGGAAAAATCCGGGGGATATTCATACTGGTAACCATAGATACAGGAAGAGGCGTTAGTTTGATTCTGACTTAAAATAGAACATTTATCAAATATCTTATCTGTTTGGTTGGCGGGTAGATCAGGTGGGGCTGCACATTTCTGTGGATTGGTTTGACCTGTTGATATAGGAATCAGATTTAAAAAGCGTGCAATGCGCTTACACTTCATAGACCAGCGGCTGCTAGGCAGGATACGCCCACATTTGGCAAGAAATGGATAGAGAACAAGCTAAAACCAAACGTGATTTTTTTGTACAATCAGGGGCAATAATCCAAAAGTTATGGTCTGAAATGCACAAATATCAAAAGGGACTTAGATCTTTGGGATATAAAGATATGTTTTAAGTTTCATCAGAATATGATAAAAATTGTGACCTCTAGAGGGTTCACAACCTTCGTATTGCATACTTTTACACAATTTGCGTACAAAGAGCGGCCATTTTGTCGGGCAGTTTCATTTCGATTTTCCCGAAATTCTAATACAACCTTCATTATGGGGGAATGGTGAACTATTTAAATTGTTTTTAAAATCGGAAAAAAAATTGTGACCTCTAGAGAATCCGCAAGCTAAAAATGCGGTTTTTCGAACAATCAAGAGCCATAATCCAGGAAGTTACGTTCGGATATACGCGATTATCAAAAGGAACCAAGATCTTAGTGTGTAATGGTGATATATTCACATGTTTTTTTTTAAATCTGATAAAAATTGTGACCTCTACATGGACGGCAAGCTAAAACGTGATTTTTTGTACATATCGAAAGGAACCGAGATCTTTGGATTATAAACTTACATTTCAAGTTTCATCAAAATCAGAAGAAAATTGTGACCTCTAGAGGGTCCACAACCTTGATATACCATATTTTTACGCTATTTGAGAACGAGGGACGGGCAATTTTGTCTGTCAGATTTGGGCCGATTTTCACGAAATTTGAACTCAACCACCATTAGGGTGTAACGGTGATATACTAAAACGGTTTTTTAAATCGGATAAAAATTATGACCTCTATAGGGTCCACAAGCTAAAAACGCTTTTTTCGTACAATCAGGGGCCATAATTCAGGAAGTTACTGTCCAATATGCACGAATATCGAAAGGAACCGAGATCTTTGGGTTATAAACTTACATTTCCAGTTTAAACAAAATCGGATAAAAATAGTGACCTCTATAGGGTCCACAAGCTAAAAACGTGATTTTTCGTACAATCAGGGGCCATAATCCATGAAGTTACGTTCCGATACATGCCAATATCGAAAGGAACTGAAATTGTGACCTGTAGAGTGTCCAAAAACAATTGTGGACGGACGGACAGGGGCGACGACAATATACGTCCACATGAAAATGTGGGCGTATAAAAACTTTGCTATGGAACTTGGCTGTATTTGTGTGAATTAAGCCAACGACCGCGAAAATATGGCCATCATCAGCGATTGGGAAAGCCTTAGAACGTAACTGTAGCAAACGAAACCTATAAAGTATTTTGTTAAAACACAAAATCTAGGGGCATTACAGGTAGGTCTTATAAAATAAATATGGTAACATCTAATATTGTTCACTTTATCTGTTTTGTTAGTTATCTAGTTGAGCTACATGTAAGAAAGACAAATCGTGCAGATTTCGAATAAAATTAATTTCAACTCTGACGCTTATTCCAGGTTTCACAAGTGGGGTCTAAAACATTAAAATTCTAGGACATTATGTATTATCATCTTACCTATAAAGACTATACTAAGTTCATGAAAAGCGTCGGTAATAAACGTTAATGTGGATAAGAAGTACATCCACATTTGGTATTTCCCTCGACTTCCCAGGGCCACCAGTATTTCATCCACATCTATATCACGCATATCCTTCATGACGCCCAATTACACAGCTTCGCCTTCTCTCGGATATTTGTTTAATGCTCGCCGATTCATAAGTGCCGAAACGATGAGTGTCTAATGAAGTCAGAACAGGAATGGATGTCGAACTCCCATAAATGAATAAAACAATTCAAAGACTCTACAAGCAGACAAGCCGTCTTGTAATGGACGTTTTATTTCTACGATTCGGACGTTCGCCTGGTATTGGCAAACAAAAAAATAATAATACAAAAAAAACCCACTAAAATGTCTCTATTCTCGCTCACACTTCGCTCTGACTGCTCATAAATTGTCTTAACCTTTGTGATCTTTTAAGTTTGAAGTTTCTCCTAATCTACAACATATGCATTTAGCCTAATTATAATACTTTATATTTAGTAACCTTAAATAATCATAACCTCAATTAATCAATCAGCACAATTCTTACATAATCATATATAATATGTAATGCTAGGTTCCCTCTGTTCCAAGCGCGGCGAATGGTCATTCTTAGCTGATCGTGGAATTTGTGTTTACGTTCTGACAGGATTGCCCAACGATCGGGGTCCCCAATTTTGGAGGCTCTAGTACGCGCAGATACTCTCAGATACGATCATCAGGAATCTATGCACTCTGTTGCGATAGGATAGATTGTTGTTACGATGTCTTTCACGATTGGGCGATTTGAGCTACTGTTGGACCCCGACAGGTATATAATAATATACAGCCCGACTGACCATGGATTTCATTGTTTCCTGAACTTCTACAGAGTGAACATCACAACCTACAATCATTGATGATGGCAGGAGTTGAGTGATGGCAACGTGACATTTGCAGTGTATGCTTACATTATCGCCATAGAAGAAGAAGACGAGCGGCGGCCACACCAACCACAACCCCAACAAATTGAGGCTGGAGGACCCAGTAGCGTTCCAAAACTACACAGGCTTAGTACCACAACTCTTCAATGAGGTCTTCCAGAGGGTAGCCCAAGCTTACCTCATCAGTTTCAGGCAACCCCTCTTACCTTGGCTGAAACTGGCAATGGCAGTGAGACACATTGCTCTTGGGGAAAACTATCTGTCCCTTGCGTATTCCTTCAGGTGTGCTGTGTCCAGAATCTCAGAGATGGTTTAAGAAGTGTGCCAGGCAATTGTTCAAAGGTACAAAGATGAGGTGTTCAGGATGTCTGTGATCCCTGAGGCCTGGACAGACTTAGCTAATCAGTTTGAGCAGATTGCCCCCCCCCCCCAACACACACACATCATTGGGGCCCTGGATGGCAATCACGCTGCTATCAAAAATCTACCCCACACTGGCAGCCTCTACTACAATTACAAGGACTTATTTTCGAAACCTCTCCTGGTTCTAATAGATGTAGATTACACGTTTGTGTCAAACGGGATTATAGGAAAAGGACACATGTCAGATGCTCCGATACTCTGAAGTGTTCAACGGCCTCTTAAGATGTCTTAAACTTGTTGCATCATCAAGTTTTGTGTTTATTTAGTTTGATAGTTTGTAATACTTGAATCCTCTTCAACTGAATTGTGTGGTACTGATATAGAATTGATTGCAGTTTTTAATATTTTGCACTTAATAGGTATGTGTTAACTTTTAGTTTTTTTATCTTTCTTTTGTCTTTGTTTAAATTTGCGGTTTTCATAAAGTCTTTATAAAAATTAAAATTTCATCTGGGTTTTAATTAATTGCATTCTACAAATGCATCACATACAAGCAGTACTATTACACTAGTTAATTATACATTTATTACCCTTTCTATTTTTTATTTTATTACGGACGTTTATACGTACTTAACCTCTTCAGGGTAAAATTGTGTTATTGTGTCATTTAAGAATTTGGTTTACCGTAATTAAGAGTACAAGTTTATGTAACATGTATATTTCATACAGGTTATAAAGAAGTAGTATATGATCAGTTGTATATTTCATACAGGTTATCAAGAAGTAGTATATTATCATCATTGTAAAGAGAAAACCGGTTACCAGTTTTTAAATCTAATGATGTATTATTTCAAACTGTATTTAAGTACTTGTATATGATTGCTCATATAGGTATGTCCATTGTTTGTATATGTATACTTTCAAGGTTTTTATATTAGATTGTATAAACCATTAGAACTAAATCCTTGTGTGGTCATTTTTGCTGCACTAATTTCTCCCTCACAGCAGACCTATTTTCAGGCCAACTAGAATAATCTGTCTTTCTGTATACCCTTGAGAACATAATTTACGAAATACTTCTATCGCCCGACAGGTTAGAACAACTCATTACGCAGGTATTGGAGACAACCAGGACAAATTTAATATGTAATTACGAGAGAGTTAGGCTAAACATCTACCATCGATCACACGTTAGAAGCTCCCATATTCAAACAATTTAGGCTTTGTGAAGAAATTACAGTTGAGCCGATTCATGATGGAGTCAACCACAAACATAATATTGGATAACAAGATGACAATGTCCGCTGTATATGTTATGAAAAATAGGGGGTATCTTTCCAAGCGAAGACCAGAATATTTTTTATCCCAAATCCTAAATTGCAAGTGATATGATATCCAGTCCCCCAACTGTATTGTACTAAAACTGGGCTTATAGAGAACTGTCATGACGATGTCATTTGTTACGCATGGAGTGCGGGGACGTTTGTAAACTTTTCATGTAAATGATAAACATTTCACCACTTCAAAAAGTGGTTACCATTGCATTTCTATGTGATTGTGTTTATCGTCGATAATTTTTAATTCCTTCAGATCACCAATGATCAGACAATTTACCATAACGTTTATTGAGATCATCCATGGTACTTTTAGTTATTAAAAGTTTATTGAGGTCATCAATGGTTCCATAATATATCATAAAGTGTTTATTAAGCCATTCATGGATACCCTATTTATCATGAAGTTTATCGCTGATGCCAGAGGTTTAAAATTTCCCGGAGCCGAAAAGTCAGATGCCAGTTTTTCCACAGCGGTGTACGTTCCCGCATTCGTCGGGCGACTGGGGTGGGGGGGGCACAGAAAAATCTTTTTAGCTAGGTCGGGGGAAGTCTACATGTTGACTGAATTATTTATTATTCTTAATTCTATTTGAGGTCCAGTCTACTCCTTTCAAAGCTGCACGTCCTCGAACAGAAACCAAAGGCACTGTAAAATACAATTGCGCAAGCCAATTGTGTCATGCGTGGAGAATTTTTACACTAGTTTTAATAATAGTCCCTGCAGCATCGGACTCAACAATAGCGTAGCACAATTTTATACATACCATGCTACTAATATTATTATTAATATTTTTTTAAAAAACATTTTCATTTTTAATAATATGATAGGGAAAAACAGAAAGACAGACACTCATTATGATCAACATGAGGTGTGATCTTAAAATCATTGATGTGTACAATTACTGCCATTTCACATGGCACTGTGATATGTCGAGCATTATCCTACATAACACTTTTCTCTGCTTAGTTCATGACCGATTATTCATTTACAAGTGATATTCCCAGCGCAACAACCTTTGAATAGCAATGCCATCATACTTTAAAGTTCAGCCTATCATACCAGTTTCCGAGAGCATTCTGTGGCATCTCTAGAATTTTCGGAAATATCTGATAAAAAGCTTGATACAAAGATCAGCACTCTTCTCCAAAGCAATCGTCGAATTGGAGCAAATTCAGTGAGAGTACGTTTACATAATATTGCAACAGGCAGATTTGGCGCTTCCATAACGGGTAGACTAATCACCGGAATTCATTTACAATCACCGTAATTCACTTCGAAAATCCCCGATTCCTTCCACAAAACTAATTTTAATTTATTTTAAATGTATAATACATTATAATATAACGAATAACTATTTTGATCTCTCCACAGGCCAGATGAAGGCGCTGTAAGTGTATTTATTTGAAAGACTACTGTATTAATATTGCTAGAATTTTTGCTCTTATAATTAATGATATTTTTATATTGTATTAATTAATATTTCTGGCAAGTTAGTAGATTCACATATTTGTACTCAAGTTAGCGAATGAGTGACAGATGGTTACATTCAATTCTAGGTTGATAACAGATATCTCATGGGAAGTTTCTTCAGTAAATTTCCATTACCATATAAGGGTGGGTTTCGACGTCATTTGGCTCAATTAACCAATCTCTCTAATTATTTACCTCATATTTGACCAATTAGATAATTGAAGGTCCAAAACCCAAGCTACAAAACTATCATATTTGTGAGCAATCGTCAGACAGCAGCTTGATTCCAGAAGGGAACAGATGTAGCAATTGCTATCAGCAGATTCGCCCAGCGAGTCTGGCTGGGTGAGGTTTGAGATGATGACTTTATTCTATTATGCATTGTACCATATGTAAGCAGCTATGATATTTAAAACGAACTATTTCATTGTTATTCCTGGTAAGACAAACGTCTTAAGAAAACAGTAAGAAGTAAATACACAACTTGAAGCAGAAGCAAAGACAGCTAGAGACTAATTCTAGACGATCACAAGGCTACTAAAATATGTAGTAAGAAAAGATGCATGGGTCATACATAGGATGTGGCGACTTGTTAGGGTCACCCGCTCTCCACGTTTGACGAAAGGCCCATGGTGCTACACTACCGGAATTCATTTCAATATATATGCATCATGATTATGATAGCATAGGGCACGTCGGGGTGCGTCGAATTACCCAATAGGCCTAACTCCAAAATAACACAAAATAACAATTTGCGTCGAATTACACAATAACTCCAAAATAACACCCACTTACTCAAAAAATGTTAACTGTGGAAACACAAAATAACAATTCAGATGAAATGAAGAAGCCTCGCTGCTTTGTGCCCAAATCGGAGGTTCACGGGAGATAACTCGCGCATGTGATTTTTGTTGACAAAAAATAAATGTATACTTTCGTTGTAATGTATTGTAATTAGAGATTGATTAATGGTTTATTAAAACAGTTATTATATGCATTAAATATATTATGGTATATAATACATGTAGTGCAATAAACAATTTAATATTATAGCTATGATTAGAGACAATCAACAAAGGGACCCTGTCAACAAACAAGTTAAACATAAATCTGAACTTCATATCCACTGCAAATTAATAATTGAAATAACTACTAAACACGTCAGTGTTGATGGAATAATCAGTAAGGATTAAGCCGAAATTGTGTGACCCCAGTGTTTTTACGTTTCGTTAGTGGCACAACTTGAAACTTGAAAGTCAACTCACAATTACGCTTTACACTTTATTTAATCTGGACTGCTTCATGCTACAACGGATTAACTATGAAAACATCCAAACCATTATTGATGAGACTTTATTTGATTGGCTTATTACCAAGTTAATTTTCGAATAAGCTTAGCTTATCTACACTGAGAACGTTTTGCTCCACATTCAAGAAATGTTCGGTTTGACAATTTACATCGATTACCTCTGTGTTCTTATTATATTAGTTTCCCCGAGTTGACTCTCTGGAAATATCGTTTTACAGCAGATACATTCTAGTATTAATATTAATGGAAAATACAATTGTCTTGGGGCGAATTCCGATTTTCTCAAAGTTAATTTCGATGTTATAAAGTAATTTATTAATGTAAAATATTAGTAAATGCAAAGGTCTTAAGTGCAAATTCAGATATTTTGTAAGTGAATTCCGGTGTTTTAAATCAATTTATTATTAGTGTAAAATATTAGTAAGTACGAAGGTCTGAAGTGCGAATTCAGATATTTTGAAAGTGAATTCCGGTGTTTATATGTTTTCAATGTGAATTCCGGTGTTTAAAAGTAATTTATTATTAATGTAAAATATTAGTAAATACAAAGGTCTTATGTGCGATTTCCGATATGTTGAAAGTGAATTCCGATGTGTATATATGTTTTCAAAGTGAATCCCGGTGATTTAAAGTAATTTATTATTAATGTAAAACATTAGTAAATACGAAGGTCTTCAGTGTGAATTCCGATATGTTGAAAGTGAATTCCGGTGTTTATATGTTTTCAATGTGAATTCCGGTGATTTTATGTTTTTTAAAGTAATTCAATATTAATATTAATGGAAAATATAAGTAAATAGGAAGATTTTACGGGCGAGTTCTGATATCTTCAAAGTGAATTCCGGTGATCGTAAATGAATTCCGTTGTATGGATTTGGTCAAATAATATTGTAAATTAAAATTAGGACTGAAATGCTGATGAAAGGGGCTTTTTGAGGAATTACAAATAGGTTCTACACATAACTGTTTTAAAACATCTAAAATTTGACGAGTTACAAGATTTTCTCCACATATGTCGAGCAATCTCCCTTTAATGATCAAAATATCGGATTTACGAATCATATTAAATATTGTCATTGTAAAAGGTGACAACACAATAAAAGAACTCAACTAAATTGTTATTTTGTGTTTCCACAGTCAACATTTTTGGAGTTACTGGGTGTTGTTTTGGAGTAATAGGGTAATTCGACGCGCCCTACGTTATCATACTCATGATGCATATATTTGAAATGAATTCCGATAGTCTTTCAAATAAATACACCTACAGCCCTTGTGAAGAGATCAAAATAGTTATTCGTTATATTATAATGTATTTATGCATTTAAAATAAATTGGTTTTATGGGAGGAATCGGAGTTTTTCGAAGTGAATTCCGGTGATTGTAAATGAATTCCGGTGATTAGTCGGGCTCCTTCTATAATGCTTACGAAAGACCTGCAATAGCTCCTCCATAATGCCTGTTTAATATGTGCATATCAACCGTCGTCCTCTACAGTCCTCACGGGGTAACATAAAGTTTATTAAGATCACGAATGGCTATTTATACTAAAGTTCGTAAAGATCAGTAATGATCCTGCTGTTTATCATAAAGTTTATTAAGACAACCCACGATACTTTTATTTATCACAAAGTTTATTAAGATCATCAATGGTCTTTTTTTTGATAATCAAAGGTCGTGAAAATCATCCATGGTCCTCCCTATTTATCATAAAGTTTATGCATTGCCCTGCTATTTATCATAAAGTTTATTAAGATCCTCCATGGTTTGTGGCAATTCCTTGCCCATCGTTTCTGGTAAATATAAAATGGTAATTGTCACGATTAAACAACATGCTCCAAATATAGCTCCCGGTGCCCACAGTAGATTTGCAGCCTGAAATGTAAAATGGCATTAAATTAATAGATAAATACACGGAAGAGTAATGTAAAACGTTTTTAGCTACATTTAATTGTATGTAGATATTTTAAAACCCTTTCATAATAAAGTATCTTACCAAAAGACTGGAAAATGGTGCCAACATTCCACCGATCCTGGCAGTGGTCGAGGCTGTCCCAAATGATATATTCCTGGAGAGAAAAATTATGAGTACGCTTAACAAAGAAAGAAGTGCACACAGGATAACACACATGCACGTTACTACGCGTACAATCCAGCTGCAAGGATGAAAATAAGTTTTTGGGGTTGTAATATTATTAATCAAAACTGTGGAACATTTTTGGGTCTTTAATGTTTCGTTTGATTCTCAACATATGTTCTATCTAGAGATCAAAGCTATTGAGTATTACCATCAGACGCCATACAATTGTTTAATCTTACAATTACATAATTATTAACAACTCTAGCAGATTCTATATTTTATTTTGTTATTTTCTGTGCCATTGACAATTCCCATAATTCATTGCACACTCGTCTTAAAGCTCGATTTGAAAGATCATCCCATTGAAATATTAAAATGAAACGAAATACGATTTGCGTTTTAATAAGTCAGATTGTTGAGTGTAGTGTTGAATAGTTTCGGCAAACCTAGAAGAACAATTCGTTTCACCTTTCATTCTTCTGATTTGTTTAATTACAATTCTGTCAGTTACCATCATAGCTGGCGGAATGTTAACTTGTTAATTAATAACGAAATAGTTTGTATTTGGGATTGTGTATTGCTAACATGCTCATACTGCTGAAATATAATAATATAATATGTCAGGTATTTTAGAAATAAATGAAATGAAATGGGGTTTAACGTCCTACTGTTCTGCTCCAATGAAGACGACATACGCCATACCATGTTCTGATATCCAATTCCAACTGCCAAGGGATTCTTTAAATGCAAACCAATGTGTACCTCGGTTTTACGTCCTACCCGAACGACTATACATTGACTCTTGCCAGGCCCTCTGTCTTGCAAACCAAAAGTATAACACATAACGTGGGGTTTGGCTCGGTTTCGTATCGGTTGTTTTCTTCGATTGGTGTAAATGAAGTATTATTGGTAAATATATTATGTTCTCGTACCTTACGTTGGTGGGGAAGACTTCCGGTGTGTAGATGAATATAACATTAAAAGAACCAGAAATACCCAGTTTACCAATCAACGAAAATATGGTGGCCGATATTGAAGCAGTCTCGTTATCGTCTAAAGCACAGACAAAAATAAAACGATAATACAGTTAAAGACTTTGTTACCTATAAACAGTTTTTAGTCGAGTCAAAGTAAGAGTTTACCTAGAACAAATTACAACAGACGGGTTCTTGGTACTGTTGTGTTTGTTAGATCATACTTTACAATACATCAAAAGTTCTCTGATTTCCAGACCGGGAAAAGGGGTCTAATTTGCATAAATTCAAAATGGCCACCAACTATACCTTTGGAGCCCCCTTTTCTATTGAGTATTTACCTTATAAATATATAACAGATAGGACCATAAGATAACATAAGATTTGATTGTATCGAAACACCCCAATACAAACAAGACATTAAATACATGAACATATACAATGATTATTAAAATGATATATTATATGTACACGTACTATTAGGGGCTATTAAAATCGAATAAACATACAATATGTTTACATATTTATTTACACAGTAGTTCATAATTAAAGGATTTTCCGATTCTCTCCTTAAAGGCTGCAACAGCTTTTGAGATTAATATAGGGGGATTGAATAGCATTGAAAAAGTCAGTGGAATTGCTGGGGTATTGCTGGGTATAAGCAGGAGTTGCGTAGATTGTCATATTTACCGCATTTCATTGGAAAATGCTCCTCATCGTCTCTGACTTGAGATGAGCACATTGCACAAAGACGTTGCCCTACTGGGATGTTTTTGTACCGACGTCTCTTTATTTCTACGTTATGAGTGCCTAATTGAAGATATGTTAGAACAATTTTGTGGTCTTTCATTCTAACTACATTAAGATAGCCAAGCACACCATCAATGGTTGGTTTGGAAGTAAAGTTAATTTCTGGTTTTCCAAACTACACAGCTGGGTGTAGTGACTTTTAAATGTTCTCTAGAGCTTTTTAAGGTGTCTCTTGGTCCCTAAAATACCTTTTATCAATTTTAAATTGGTTAATTATAGAGATGATAGAGAGGGTCAATCAGAATTTTGGGTTAGTATTAAACAGGTATACGTCTCCGTTGTGGGCTGCTGCTAATAGAGGGGGGAGGGGTAGTGTTATTGTTATTGATTAGTCTCTTGTGGTAAGTAGCCTAAACATGCGTTGGTAGGCCTCCAGGTGTAACGGAAATATGCCCAATTCTCCAAGACAGGCTAAGTTGGAGGATCTGGCTAGTATGAATTTGCACCTTGTTCAAATTTACCTGGTCCTACTTTTCCAACACATGCTTTTTGCTTAGTATTAATTGTGAACCCTATACATCTGAGGCGTACAAGGTTCTCTGTTTAACTATGGTGTTGTATAGTATTATCACGGTATTAGTTGGTAACGAATCAATATTGTATATTATATTTCGGGAACTGAACCACGCCCTTCATGACCCTTGTACGTCTTCGCGTCTTATTGTGACGTTAAATGATAAAATTTAAAACAAACTGACTCAGCTCCCTGTTTAATGACATAAATTGAAATGTAAATAATCACATGAGCACTATATTGCAATGCAGTCCAATATTGTTCCATTGCTTTGTTGTTCGCTCGTCACATTTAGTGTTTACCTTATTCAAGTTCGAACTCTTCTTGCTCTTGCACAACAGGGCTAACGTTCCGACGGGCGCCGCCTTCACTAAGTTTGTATCAAAATAAACATTTAAACGAGTATCACTGTCGTCAAATCATTTATATTTTAATAGATCGTACGTTTACCTCACTGTATACGTCTACTTACCGTACATTCTCAGTATAGTAGAACATATTAAACCGAATGCAGCAATTCCATGAAAGAGCATTGCTGTCTTCTTTCTCCCAATACTGTAAAATAGTACCCTTTAATCAATTTGAGGCGTAGTGGCTCAGTTGATAGTAAACAACTAGAATAACATGGGTTCGAGATTTCTTCAATTCGGTTTCCATTTGTGAGGCACGGATAGGGACGCGTATACAGTTGGATACGATTAAACATAATTATTATCCAAACTGTCCTACGCCGCTTTCCACACGTAAATATCAAATTGGTATAAAATGTCTATGAGACAGTGTAAATTTAGAAACTTCAAACAAAATACTCCATTATTTTTTCATGTGACTAGACTGCCTACTATTCTAACATATTATTACACCTTTTCTTTCTTAATTTCTCATTTGCCCATTCTTTATCAAATTAGGACATTATCATGGTAGAAGTCGGTTTAATACCACATTTACTTGTATCTCTTGTGGTATCAGCTTTAATCATGTGCTCACATAAATATGAAGCATTGGTTGCTTTCCCTAACGAACTGTCCGAAGACGCAAACTCGTATAATTTACGAAGCACCAGAACCAGAACCAGTATATAAATGCAGAAGGAACTTCTACCAGGGCATTTAGGAAGAAATTCAGATAGATGTTACCAGCCAGGCGTGAAGAGGTGAGGACAATACCATAATATGTCAGACTGTTTGTAAACCTGTAATGGAACATCAACATGAACAATGCATACAACTCATTATATGCACGTACGTGATAAATGAGTGGTATATTGCGTTACATAACCAGCGGTTGCCAGGCAAGATACGCCCATATTTTGCGAGAGATGAACAGAGAACTTGCTAAAAAAGAAGGCGATTTGTTTTCGTACAATCAGGGGCCATAATCCAGGAAATTATGGTCTGAAATGCGAGAATATCGAAATCGACTGAGATATTTGGAATGTAAAGATATATTTAAATTTCATCAAAATTGGATACAAATTGTGACTTCTAGAGAGTCCACAACCTTGGTATTATACATACTTTTACATTATTTGCGTACAAGGTGTGGCCATTTTGTCTGGCAGCTTTGGTCCGATTTTCAAGAAATTCGAACTCAGCCATCAATATGGTGTAACGGTGATATATTCAAACAGTTTTTGAAATCGGATAAAAATTGTGACCTCTAGAGGGACAACAAGCTAGGGACCACAAGCCAATATGGAAAGGAACAGAGATCTTTGTTTCAAGTTTTGTTAAAATCAGATAAGATTTGTGACCCGTAGAGTGTCTACACAGGGGCGACGACAATATACGTCCATATGAAAATGAGGGCGTATAAAAATTAAGACATAGCCTTGCCCATGCAAGACGAAGCCCGGGTGTCAATGTTCTATTTCATATCGTTTGATGGCAGATATACTGAATTGTTATAGTTTGATGGTGATGAATTCTGACATTGTACACAAGATAAACAATGATAAACTCATTGATCACCTGGCATCATTGGTGTTGTCTTTTTGACTCCAGTTCGTGGTGTAAAATTTCCGTTTCCGTGTTTTGCCAAGCGATCTGAGTTGTCGTAGACGCCAAATTGACCTTATAATTTTCAATAACACATACGAATACATAAATTAACAGTTAAAAATGAACTTACCACATGAACCATATTATAATCAACGTTGTTGCCAACCGTTTACTTTTAAATATATCTAAAAGTGTGTATTTTTCTACATGAACGACCCCAACTTCTAACGTCGCCTTCTGTTTAGTCTCGTCTTCATCAGTATTTAATGTTACAGCCAGTAGTTTATCGGTTGGTTCATAAGAATCAACAGGTAACAACTCTTTCTGGTAGATCAACTAAAAACAAGACTAACCAGGCAATGACACATACGCCTAACAACCGCTTTATCAGCTGCTTGAAAGGCGTTCTGTAAATAGTATACTAAGACCATCGTCGACGAATCACTCATCGAAGCGGGCACGAACACCCTCATTTAATATCCAAGTTCTCGTGCATGGGATTGATAATTTAGTTTAATCTAACGCGGAGATTTCGATAATTTAATGTCGTTCCATTGACAAAACTGTGAAATGCCGGAGCGCGTACAGGACTTAAATGACAGGGGCAATAACTCTAAATAATATTGATCAGCCAGTTGACAGTGTCCCCCTTAGAGTTTAGGGGTACATTAAGAAGTATGGAAGGCAGAAGGAAATTTATCTGCGATATGACTTCGGTGGAAACGGACGTTAAATAAAGCTATTTCACAGGCAGAAAGGAAATTACGCGGTGAAATTTTACCAGGCACCCGTAGGTCAGAACAGCAATTTTCTCCCCCTCAGAATAATTACGTCAGGAATTAATAGTCACGGGAAGGGGGGTAACTCATATTTAATCCTATGTATGACAAAATTACCTTCAATGGTTCGTTAACATTAACACCATTTATTCTTGCGGCCTTCTTCAACAGTCTGACAGTTTCTTCCAATTTGTTGTTAGCCACCAACCATCTTATAGATTCGTCTGTTACACTTGAAAATGAACAAAACGGGCATAAACCCGTAATATTGTGTAGTAAAACCGCTAGTTCCTAATCAGTCTGGAATGTATCTGCAATATCTCAATTACTGGAACTTACATATGCATGTGAATTGACAATAATTTAATACATATCATGTACATCACACCTACAGCGTGGTTTAACATCACGTTCTGCTCCGAATGTATAAAGAGCTAGGCAACCTGCCGATAGTGTATAAAGAGGGAGACATCACCAATATTACATAAAGAGGGAGTATCAATAGTGAATAAAAGGGGG